TCATTCATATTTTACCAATTTACTTTAACATATTTCTCAACTGTAAGTTTAAACACTTGATTTTGAAGCAGATTATCAGTATGAGAGATAGTAGCGTCGAAAATTAGAGGTGGACATCAAAAGAATGAATATCCATTGGCAAGAACTGGAAAGGAAGGCTGTTATACTCGTCACTTGATGTGCTTGAAACTATTACGGGTTCACCTTAGTCAATTAACGAGAACGACACAATGAACCAGTGACACGTTATGCTACTCTGATCGGTTGACGAAGAAGTCTTGATATAGCGTAGAAAGTATATTTTACAAACACCCAGCCAGCACAATGCATTCAAGCACACAAATCGCGTTTATTTATACATCATAGAAACATCCTTGGAAGAGTCACGAAAATAGCACACTAAAATAACACATCAACCAATCATATGATCTCAAGGTTAACTGATCAGCTCATGAATAAAATTCAAAATTAAGACATTTAATCAAGCAAGTTCTGGGAATCTAACGTCCCCAACAAAGGCCTAGGACATGATTGGTCAGAGAATGTTGGACGGTGACCTATTGTCCATTAGGAGTAATAGACTTAAGTACATAAATAAGAGATAGTTTTAACTAACATTGTGATATCCGAAACAGTTGAAGGTAAAGAAAAACTACCGCACCATTAATCAGTTATGGCGAAATTTCTAGTCTTTAGTGACCTTGTGAAGTGTATTTTTTTCTTTATGTACGACTAACTACTTAACGCCGACCTTGAACATATAGATATGTTTTTTTCTTGTAGTTGGATAAATGATTACTATTTTCACTTGTTTGCTTTTATGATTACATTTTATTTAACAAAGCCTTTGTCATATGTAACCACAGTTCATTTAGTGTGGATTTCGCTCAAGATACATACCAACCAATGAAAATTGTTCAGCAGCATTAAGGTTTGTGATCAGTAAATAACTACTCCGCAGTAGAGTAGTCCCATAATACAATGAATCTGTGGTGCGCGCTACTTATAAGTAGTATATGACGCAAGTGAAAACGTAATATCTGGCAGCAGAAGATGGGGGAAGATCAAGAAAGTAAGAAGAGTGGGAACACAATGGAATTTGTATGAAACAAACGCATGAATAGTGAAATGTCAGACAATGGATTGAAGATTTGCAAATTAACGGTGGTTACAATATGGTTTTCCTATTTTACTGAGTAACTCTGTAATTTTCGTTAAATACAATTCGGTTGCCCTCACTTGTGTTCTCCTTCACTACATATTGTTCAATGTCTAATTTAAATTTTAGTTTGTGATCTCAATAAAAGATTGATCAATTTCAATTTCCAATATTTAACATCAAGTTTCAAACCATCATCTATACTAAAAATTTGCTACGCGTCAAACAAACCGCCATCTATGTGAACTCAGTAGCTTAGTGTATAACCTTATTAAATGTTTAAAACTATTAGCATTGTATTTAAAAGTTTCACTACGGGCATCAATGCTAGAATCCATGTACATCTAGCTGATAAGTTTGTAATAAAATAAATTATTCCTCTTGGATTCTGTTTATCAGCTAGCTATACAACAAATAAACCATAGCATTGATATTTCGATGATTATCCTGATTGTAAGTTTTCATTTAATCTGTAATATATCTTCTTCCAACTATGATTTATTTATTTAGCTGTTTACTACAAATGTTTTGATTTTACACTTATTGCGATTTCTATTGCGTTATTCTTTTTTCCCCTTTTTTGTGCTTTCAATCCATATGAATCTTTGAATTTGTGAACAATAAAACAACTACAATATATTTGAATGACTTTTCTGCTGTTCTGATTGGTGCTTTGAGATGACATGAATTTCGAGGTCAACCATACTTTTTTTTTCAAAGTTCAATAAAAGTACATTATCTAGCAACAATCCCTTCCGTTTAGTGAGCGGATGTAGTTTTTTTTTACAATTATTTGAGGTTATCTATATTATATTCATGGTCAACCAACATGCCTGCTGCACATGCACATCTCTGCGTTGATATACAGCGCAAGGATTCTTACTGTTGCCAACAGTACTGACCCCTGCCCCTTTCGGGTACATACATGTTGTCCGGTTTGGTCTGCAGACACGTCGGACATCCAAAAAGCACGCACACGAGCAGTGGCCCCTGCACGGGCACCTATGAATCAAGAAATCCCACCAACCAAACCACAGCCCACAATCCCCAATCGGCGAGGGCGGCAAGGCGGGTTTATCCTTCCGGACAAGGGACCCCGTAGCAGGTTACCGAGCCACCCAAGCAGTGCACTAACCGGCAGCCATTCCAACCGTCTGGCCTCCAACTGCCTTGCGTTGATACAATCGATCGAGGCCCATCTTACCCCACATAAAGCTAAAGATCGAGTTTGTCCCACAAGGTCAGCTAGAACGTACACCCTTCCATGAGGAAGATGTCATGGACTCGACCAAACGCAAGCGCTCAGCCAAGCAGGGTTCATCCCACAGAAGTGGGCAGACATCATTGGTTTTCAGTACCCTTTTCAGCACTGAAGCACCGGAACCCAACTTGAGACCCTTGTTTACGGGGCCTCGACGCCAGTTCACACACAACATCGGGTGAGGCATGCAAGGGACAACCACATAGGGTCGGCGTCAGTAGTCCAGGATGTTTGCGGTTGCTTCCCCAAACATAGGATCCGGGGCCGCCCTCGATCATCCTACTACATCCCTTTCGAGAATTTACCTACGCTTAGGGACGGGATACCATCTTAATCCCCCAGACTGGTCAGACGCATCCACAGCCTTGCGACCATGAGCGTGCCAATTATCCGGACCATGCAAAGCACGGAATCCCAAGCGATCGGAACGACTTTTAGCCGCAGCGATGTTGCCACCGCCACGTTGCCTGGCGGGACCACGAAGAGGTAGTCGCCACCACAACCCCCTCAAAGGCACCAATATTGCTCAACCCGAGGCCACCTCAAGCATTCTAAGGCTACGCCCCGCCAATTAGATGACGAGGCATTTGGCTACCTTAAGAGAGTCATAGTTACTCCCTGCTCTATATTTGTATTTGCTGAATATGATATTGTAAAGCATTTCAACATGTCAGATAAGAGAAGTAAATAAAGTGAAAATTAGAGCTTGAAACGAAAGGCCCATTGTGAAAATGATGTATTGAAAATATATTTTAAATTGACATGTAGATGCGCCATAATCTTACAGGTATTTTAACTTATCGTCAATGCGAATATCAGGATATACAATAGTTGCGTTAATCAAATTATCATCATTGATGGTAGTAGGCATTCATAAAACCTACATTTATTTGAACAGTGCCATATATATTCACAATTATAGTCAGTCAGCTGCAACGTAGAACTTGGTACGCACATAAATCAATTGAGTTTGTGTGTCCGATTGGCACAGAACGATGAAAATGTCAAATCAAATACCAAAGTAGTAAAGGAAGTAACAATAATAGTGGTAAAAGATTAAGGATTTAAAATAAAATTCAAGAGCGATTCGGTAACTTAGAATTAAAATAAAAAAGCGTAGAATGAATGCAACTGTTGTATTGCAAACAATTTTAAGCCATATCATTCAAATTGTCTCATCATTAGTTACGATAATCATCAGGAACCCAAACCAGATAATATACTTCTATTATTATGGTTCAGTCTGGTTGTGAATTAATTCATAGACTGGTTTGGAGTCTTGGATTAGACGCCCCTAGTTTCTTTCTAACCTATTCCTACTAGAGACAACATCGCTTGTCGAGGTAATCGGTGGTTAGACACACGCAACATATGACGTTAACTGATTTTGAAGCCACTTAGGTACATGTTCCACAACCCTTGATTGCAAAGTCCGATTACTCCTCCCTATGTATGTGTCCACACAAACATGTAAATTGATAAATACAATGGGATGTGATGTAATCACTAGAGCAACGTTTAGGTATACACGTAACATATGTTTTCAATGGCGCAAGTGTATCCATTCTATGTGTTCTCTCATATCCTTATCTTTCTTTTTTTAAGTTTGTTTCACTATACTTCTTGAATAATATCTTCGAATCCTAATCTTTTCAATTACTGCCAATACTTCTGTAGTGCCTCCACACATATTCGAGTTCGCTTACATTTAATTTGGTTAAGCCCTTTCGATTAATTTATTTAACCAAGCTATTTTTATTGCAACAATTTACATGTACCATTCGTTCTTATCATTCTCTGGTTTGTATGAGCTCACATGACGTGTCCTACTTGTCATTTGACCTTGTCAACTATTCGTCGCTTTTATTCATGTGTTTTCGTCTATTTCGCTTGTCACATGTCTGTCTTATATTTGTCTGACTATATATTCTTAGTCACGCTCTATCTCTTGGGATTGGCTCAACAGCCTTCTCCACATCACTTCCTTCGCCCATTCGTTCTCATTGTAATCCTAGGAGTTGGCTCAATAGCCTTCTCCACATTGCTTCTCCGATTCGCTTTGTGGTGTGTCCTAAATAAACGTATTCATCAGGACGAGTTCACCTTCTGATTTATAAACTGTCAGACGCTACTTAGTAACGATTGTTTAGATAAGCTAATTACCAAACTTAAGAACACGCAATAAATTTACACACTACACTTCTACTACTATAGGATGTGAATTGAAAATTGCGTCTCTGTGCTAATGTGGTCTGACAACTTGAACTGATGTGAGTGCATACGAAATTCTGCATTGTAACTAACTGACTGACTAAACAGATGTTCTAACAACCTTGACTGATGAAGACTCACTACTTAACACATATCCCATCCTTATCTAGTACCCTAACCAAATAAAGCATTGCTCACTTGGTGATGTGATACTTCAAAGAAACCGATGCTTCAAATACTTCTAACCGACGGATAAACCCTCTCTCTATTTCCCCGATGAACATCATATAATTGATGACAAACATTTTCAGAGAGAACATTTACAAATAATTTTATCATTTTTAATATTAGAAATTATTCAATTTAAAAAAACACATTATACACTGACTCATTTTACATACATTATGATAATCATTCCCAATTGGAATATATGATGGACATGGTGAATCTTTCATAATGATATAATATAAAATTTAAAAAAAAAATTTGTTTACATTTTCAACGGTTACTACTTTAAACAAACAAACAAACCAATCAAGTCAAACAGAATACAGGGAGGTACAATATAAAACAATGTAATACTTATATATATCTATATATATATATATGCATTAAAAACTTATTACAGACTATACATAATACAATACAAAGAAAGAGGTGTACTTTTTTTTTCATTGTGATCGAAAACTTTTGTTCGTTTGTTTGGTTGAAGAGGAAGAAAAACAGATGAAAAAGGAATTTCAAAAGACAACAAAAAATAAGTAAAGACAATAAGGAATGAACAAGAACCGGCAACAATTAAAGACGACGAATCTCTTGAAAAAAACGATATGTAATACAATCAATGGTGCCAAACAGAATGGATTTTAGTTAGGGAAGAAAAAAAAAATAAAAAAAGTAGTTCCATTCATTGATAGAACGCAAAAAAAAAAAGAATACAGCATTCATTCACACAGCCAAATACAAATGAACATTTAATTTATACATCATGATCAATGAGTGAAAAAAAAAAAGAAAAGAATTCATCGCCGCTTGTTATCAGAAATATTGAATCTGGTGTAAGGAAAAAATTATTCACAGCAGACCTACAATTCCGTTTTCACTGTATGATCATCTGAAAGTGTAGAAAATAATAATTGAGAGAGAATATGTTACAATTTAAAATACATTATTACATAAAATACAAAGACAAATTCTTATCGGTATAGATTCTTAGGTATTCCAATAGTAAACGAACTTATAACAGATAATAATCATTGTTTGACCACTCTCATAAACTTGCAGTCACCTAAATACTTCTTCCTGCCACACAAAACTGTTGGGGATGTTAGATCCCCAAAACTCGCTTGTTTAAGGCCTTATTTTGGTTTTCACGTTTACCAGCATGGGCTGATCAGTTGACCTTGAGATTTCATTTCCCACCAGCAAAATCCATGGCTGTGATTGGCTGCTGTGTATTTTAGTGTGCGATTTCCTTAACTGTCCCAAGGACGTTTCTGTGATGTATAAATAAACGAGTGTTGTATGCTTGATTGTACTGTGATTGCTGGGTGTTTGTAGAATATACTTTCTACGCTTATCAAGACTTCTGTTTACAGCTTGGGATTCAAGGTAGCCTACCTGGACGGTGGTAATTGTCTCGTTCACGTTTATCGACTAAGGTACTTAGTGACGAACATAATAAAAGCAAGCTGTTTGATGAAGCAGATACAATTTTATTATTCCACTCATTTACTGCCTTTTAGAGACAAGTAAATTGCTGTCTACACTTAAAGAAAACAATTTAATTATTTTTTCGCGTCGTTAAGTTGGACCCATATTACTGATTATCACAAAAAATCCCCATTAATTTAGAGTAACTGACAACTGCACAAAATCGAATTCACATACATTAGTGTGATATTGACTGTTTAAAGATATTGCGCTTAACTACTTATATGAAAATTAAAGTAGTATGGTTTTTCTACAGAAAGATGTGATTTACGCTGACTATAGTTGATGAGACTAGAAGTAAATTTCTCGATGAATTCTGAAATTAGATCGAAGATCACGACTAACAAGTTATTAAGCACTCTATATGGACTATAAGTTCAAACAATTCTTAAATTCAAAATGAATTCATCATTTATCAATGAGAAAACGAAGCTGATCTAAAACAAAATGTGATAACATTTGCCCTAAATATGTTCCAAATAATCTAGTCACATATGTATACATTTTTGTAAGGTTTAGCTATACCTGTTTAGATACACTTTTTCACATCATTAATACACTTCTTCTGTCTTGTTATGGGTAAACTGTTAAATGAACTTGTTAACTTGAAGAGCGGAAAATTGTATCGGAAAAAGTAATAGTAAATGTTTCTTAACAAACTCTCTATCACCACACGTATATTTCTATGTGTAAACAGATTGTTGGTTATTTAAAGAGGAATTAAACTTTTTGGAAAAATTCTATTTTCTTAACACTTTAACAAAATTTCACTGTATTTTGAAAGATGTTAATGTCGTCTTGTGCTGTTGTGAAGGTGACATTAAGTCAGAGAAAAAAGAAAAAATCAAAAAATTTTGGAGAATAACGTTTACCATATTTTATCAGTGAACTAACTAACTTCACATTTTGAAAATATAGTACAAAGAAACGTTTAACTTTATTACACGTCACCATGAAAACAAATTTGGTTTAAATCAATAATAACAACTCTGCATCAACTTGTCAAAATAAAACATCAAAAACATACCAATTTTTGAGGTGTCCACTGAACTTTCTTCAGAAGGCGGAGGCTCGGATATGGTTGAAGCAGTAGAAAACTCAGGAGCAGACGTTTTAATACTATCGCTACTACTACTACTACTGCCTTCAGTAGTAGTACTAGACGGATAAGTACGTTTCCATAATTTTTTAATTTCACGATCATAATCAATCCATTCAGGAGCAATACGCATTGCTGCAGTTAATTTCGGTTCTTTAGTACGTGGATTATTGCATAGATCAATAGTTTTCGCCTTAGCCAAACTTTCATCTGAACACCATGTTTCACACCATAACCATTCTTGTGGTAATGATTTAATTGGAACCTAACAAATAATAATAAGAAAACATTGAATAATGAATTTAGTTTATTAGTAATAATAATATTAATAATAGCAATTTAGTATCATTTAAAATAATTCCCGACCGTAGCTTCTACCTTGATGTGGTGGTCGAGCTTGCCTATTGTGATGACCCGACCGAGATATATTGGCTGGAACATATGTTCCTGTGGGACCCGGGCAGGTCGATTGGAGAACGATGAAACTAAAAGCAGCTACTCAAGGTCTGAGGGCGAAGTCGTACTGCTGACTGTAGAGAGATGTGACAGCAGTAAAGTGTTTCCCTCGGACAACCAGCATCTGCAGCGATGCTGCCTTCTCAAAAGGAAGGGTTAGAAGAGGTCGACCCTAAAAATGTCACACCTCACCCTACCTCACGTATTTCCGTCTCCGGCGGTAAGGGTGCCCACTAAGAAGCTAATACTCAAAAAACCCTTCATTAAAAGGCCGTGCGTGACCGGCCTCAAGCAGTTGTCCCTTGGGCTCAGCGGTCACGCTCCCAGGTCTCTAAGTCCGACACTAATCTACCTTCCTCTTCAGGTTCCTCAAGAAGCACCTTTCCACAGCGTGGGCAGACGAGAAGTGACAACAGCCCTCGTACTCGTAACAGCACACGAGACCAAATCGGTCACATTCAAATCCTTCCTATTCCCCCTTATATCTCTCTTATCTGTACGATTAACTATTCTCACATTCCTTTATCACACTGCACCGCTAATGCAAACGATGCGAGTTCACGAAACGTTACAAAATTGTATTATTAACATATAAACCAACAAGTTGATTTAACATTGAAAATAAGACCATTGATTAGAAGAATAGTCTTTTTTTCCCATCCCATACAATCAAATACTCTTATAAAAAATATTCACACACCCAAAACAAACTTGATTAAATAGGATAGGCGATCGGAGGAAATCAGTTTGTCAACCACTACTTCATTCTCTAATCACTAATTCCTAAGTTGAATTCTTGGGCATTGTATCAATCATATTTCAGAGAATTGACAGTTGATATGTATATATTGATAGCGTATATGACAAGATAGTATAGGGATGAGTATTAAAGCTATAAAATATGATCGATCATCTTACAGTGACAAGTGTTTTATCTCAATATGAAACTTCTTAGCTGGGCGTATCCACAACTGCATCAGAGATTAGTATGTAATGGAAACTTCGACAATCTAAACAAATTCCAATTTTTTTCCATTCTTCTTCTTATGTCTGTCTACATTTCTTGGCACAATGTGTTCATTGGCCTTCGTCTTTTCCTTTGAACTTGAGGGTTCCAAGTGAGGGATTGTCTTGTGATGCAGTTGGGTGCTTTATGCAATGTATGTCCTATCCACTTCTACCGCTTCTTCCTGATTTCCTCCTCTACTGGAACCCGGTTTGTTCTCTTTCACACTGAGTTGTTGCGGATGGTGTCTGGTCAACGGATCCGAAGTATTTTGTGTAGACAACTGTTAATAAACACTTGTATCTTCTGGATGATGGCTTTGGTAGTTCTCCAGGTTTCCGTTCCATACAGTAGAACTGTCTTGACATTTGTATTGAAAATTCTGATTTTGGTTTTGGTTGAAAATTGTTTGAAGTTCCAGATGTTGTTCAATTGTAAAAATATGCTGGCCTTGCTTTGCCGATCCGCGCCTTCACATCTGTATCAGATCCACCTTGCTCGTCGTCGATACAGCCCATATGTGTAGTAAAGGCTAATCAGTCTAATTTTTGTTGTCGAAGATAACTGAATATGTTAGGTAGTTTGGTTACAATGAAAATACAATAGAATACCACAGAAAGATTCATTGATATTTCTCCTCTTTAAATCTGGAGCCCAAAATTTTTCCAATGATTTATGAAAATTGAGTAGTGATTCAATGGAATAATTAACAGTTTAAAGAAATAAAACAATTCAATTCAAAGTTGATATTAAGTCCATTGTAAAATGAGACTACTATTACTACCGCTACTACTACTAACCTGATGAATCATATTATTTGGTAAATCTTGATCTAAATTCGACAGACTATTTGGATCTTGACTTAGACCATGATATTGACCACGTAGTCGATCACCAGCGGCTAAACGACGAAATCTTGTCAAATCCACAACATACAATGCTGAAATATGATATGGTCGACCAGATAAATGATTTGCCCAATAACCTTGTTTCCAAAATCGAAAACCATCCATTTCTTTGCGGGAATCACAAAATGGTGTATAACCGTAAGGTGCACCGCCTAAATCTAGATCGACTAATTCTTTGAGATCAGCTCGAACAATCTAAAACAAAAAAAAGGAAATCGACAAATCAATGTTTTACTAGGAAACACAATATACTCACTCACATCATAGTATAATGTAATTTTAATTAGTATAGAGGTTACTGTTAACCTCCACCAATAAATTGATTTACGTTGTGTGAAACAGGTAAAGCACCAATGAACTATGACCGCCTAATAAACTTTAATATAAAACTACAAAATTCATTCTTATTGGTTAATTCCTACTGGTCATTGTTTTGGTCGTCCTAGATGTCAATGTCACGTGCTCCAATGTTGTTTCTTATTGGTTGTCCTGCTATCAATGTCACTTCAAATGTTGCTTCCTATTGGTCGTCTTAACTGTCAATGTCACAGACTTCGATGCTGTTTCCTATTCGACCAGATGGCATAACTATTATTAACCGGACTCATGCATATACGCACACAAACAAACACGCATCAATGACAATCGTTTAGAGGTGATTTATACTTTTAATCCAGTACTAGTAGAATTCTTGGAGTTCTAGTGACCAGTGGAGTTCAACCTTGTCGGGTATAGAGGCAGTAACTACCAAAGACAATGAATGACGTAGCGCGAAATCCGTAGATTGATCAGAGTTAGATATTATCACCGTTGGATGCCGGCCAAGTGGGGTCCTATACTGCAAGACATAGCTTGTCGAGGTAGTCGGCGGTCGGGCATTCATAACACATGCCCCAACCACCTCAACTGATGAAGTCTCAATACTTCATCTATTGATCTGCCATCCTTACCCAGTACTCGTTTCCTAACGACAGCATTGCTTACTCGGGTGTCCCACGATACACGACCAATGCTTCTAAGACATCTGTAATCGAATACTAGTAACCTACGAATATATTCTACTCTTAACGGCCATGTTACGCATGCATATAGGAGAACGGAGCGAACTGCTGCACAGTAGGCTAGACCTATGGTTAGCATACGGATATCTCACTTACACCATAAATGACGCAAGTCGGCAAAAGCCGACCGAGCCTTCTGTATCCGTGTTGACAATTTGTCAGTCACCAGGCCATCAGCGCTGATGAGACTCCCAAGATTAGTGAAACGGTCGATACGCCCAACTACTTCACTCCATATCACTAGTTCAGGTGCCGACGCAACCCAATCTTGAAGCAACATTTTACATTTCGAGGGTGAGAACTGCATCCCAAACATGCTTGCATCGTTGCTTAGGGTAGTCAGAAGACTCTGCATTTTGTCAGCGTCTTCACCAAGTAGGACAATGTCATCGGCATATTCTACGTCAATAAACGATCCACCTGGTAGAAGGACCACCCCTGAAAATACAGACTAAGATAATGTTACGTCTAAAAGCATGTCTATGACAAGAATGGACAGAGTCGACATCCCTGACAGACACCACTTGAAGTAAAGAATTTCAATGACAGTTCGCCATAGGCCCTCACCGGAACTAACCGGCAACAACAACAGCAACAACAACAACAAAAAAGGAGAAAAAACTAAGACGAAAAACAGCTACAATAACAACAATGAACGCAAACACTAATTATTATTATTATTATTATTATCATGATTACTTGATCAGCATCAACAAATATAATTTTGGTCACATTCAATGGGAATAATACATCAAGGAATAGAATTTTATAACCCCATATTATACGTTGTTTCTCTGTTTGTGCATGTAACCAACGTGGCCATTTATATTGAACAAATTCATATTCAAAACCATATTCTTTTGCCATATACGGTATAAAATCTTTAAATGTTGGTGAGAGATAATTTTTTAAAAACCAAAATTTCACTGGTGAATTTGTATGTCGTAATACAGTTAACATCATAATTCTTTGTTTGTTTGTGTTTTGAAAGAGAAAAGAAAATTGAAAAAAAATCATACACAAATAGGTGAGTTAATACCAAAAGAATCGAAAAAATGTCAAGAAATTTAAAGACAATTTCTTAATAGGCTCAATCATCGAGCTTCGGACCTACAGATCTAATCAAAAAGGCAGTGAAGCAATGTCACGAGATGTAGTCTCATGGTTACAAGTGACCAACAATGGATTGATACCGTATTTGTTCCCTCAGAATCTTGCAGTTCATGTGCACCAATTGTTTTCAATTAAACATTTTTCAACTGCCCTAGATGGACCCGACCCTACCTGCTACCTTGACATGGTGGTAGGGCAACCAGGAAGTGACATCTGCCCTCATACCTGTAGAAGAGGTCGACCGTAAAAATGTCACACCTCACCTTACCTCACGGATTTCTATCTTCGGTGGTAAGGCCTTTTAAACAAGAGCGGAGATAACACTTCAAAACCTTCCCATAAAAAGGCTGTGCTTGATCATCCCCAAGCAGTTGCCCCATGGACTCTGCGGTCACGCTCCCAGGTCTCTAAGACCAACACCAATCTACCTTCCTTTGAAATGGATCGATTCATAACTTCGATGATCTATTCATAGAAAGTAGATATAACATAGGGTGGATATCGAATCTAGGATACAGTTACAGTCAGCTGACAAGTGCCGGGCAGGACAAAACATACTTCCGGAATTCCATTGTTAATCACAATTCAGTCTACATTAACTCGCGTCATAATGGCTACATCAAACCAATCACAACAAAATGCACATATATACCTAGGAGATTTTAAGTCCAAAATAAGTTAATCGAATCAATTTCAAATGGAATTCAATGATTATTTATGTAATGGTTGATGATAAACTTATTATCCAGAAAAAAAAACCAGCAAACAACCACTATGTCAAGAACCTACCTTAGTAATCGTTCATATAAATGACCAGAAGCAACTGAGAAAATATTGATCGTCACTTGATTTGAACTACATTTATGCCAAGGTAAATGGGATTGAAGTGAATGTTTTAAACTGTGCAAAACAAAAAATATAATTTTTGAATTTAAAAAAGAAACAACAGATGAACGTTGAAATTATTTGGAATAAGTTTAATGTGTGAGATACTACTGAAATGAAAATCAAATCAGTAAGAACAACAAAAGTAAACATTGATAGAAATGGTCTAGTATTTTTTTTAAGATGACAGTGAATGCCATTAGAGGTGTTAAAAATGTTTGTATGTTTGTCGATTAACTGAACGACACAAACACATTGGTCGATTGTTTATTCTGTTCTACATGGTTGATTTCTAGTGATCGAGGTCCTCATGATTATCGTAACCAATAGTTAGTTGACAAGTAATATGGTTCAGAATCATCGTAGTGGTTGCGCAGATGTATTCACGCTTTGTTTTCCCTTTAGGTAATGAGTTTAAAAATTATTCTAAAGCTTTTATATTCCAGCGAATTTTTTCTTTCTTCTCATATCATACACCTAGTGTAATACCTACAGTCCTACTGCTTACAATTGAGTCCAGGAACGATTGGAATTTTGTTGAGGACGTTAGATCCCCCGAACTCGCTTGATAAATGTCTTAATTTTGGATTTTATTCATGGGCTGACCAGTTGACTTTGAGATCACATTTCCCACTAGGAAAATCCTTCGCTGTGATTGATTACTGTGTTATTTTAGTGTGCTATTTTTGTGACTCTCCCAAAGATGTTACTATCATATATAAATAAACGCGATGTGTGTGCTTGAGAGCATTGTGCTTTTTGGGTGTTTGTAGAATATACTTCCTACGCTGTATCAAGACATTTTTCGTTAGTTCCTCGTTCTCGTTTATCGACTAAGGTGAACCCGTAATAGTTTCAAGCTTATCAAGTGACAAGCATAACAAATTCCTATGACATAACATGAAAATACAATAATAAGGTTGTTCGATCACACATATACACTTGATGATGAATTGATAGATTTAACAACAATACATTTGGATAATGTAACAAGATGAAGACAGAAGTCAATCAATTAGAACTGTGATATATCATTTTGCGTCATACACATTTCGGACACATTGATCACAACATACTTGTTAAAGTATGATGAACAGTAAAGCAAAAAAATGTGGTCACAAGGTAACACAAACAATGATGACCTTTGTCTTTTTTTTATTGGTTCATCCAAATGTAGAAATGAAGTTCAAGGTTGTTTCATACTAAATGAAATTAACACTTAACCAAGAGAAAAAAACATGATAACCTGAAATATTGTTACATTGAGAATGCAACTAATGTCTAATGTCACACGGATGAAATAATGAACGAATATTATGCTGAATGAAAGCTAAGGTTGAGAGATAAAAACAATGAATTCATTAGTCAGTCAGTCAACCATGACGTAGAATGTGACACTTGTACATCGGTTCAAGTTGTTATACTCCAATCAACATAGAGAGATGAAATTGTGTGTTCAGTCAAATCATAGAGTAGCAGATTAGCGAAATAATGTGAAGAAATTTATGAGGAATTGAGAAACTCAGAATCTAAAGAAAAGATACAAAGAGTGAATTTTGAGTCAGGTCATCCAAAGTCTCTAATCAGACGTGATTACCCGCTGAACTTAAGCATATCACTAAGCGGAGGAAAAGAAACTAACAAGGATTCCCTCAGTAACTGCGAGTAAACAGGGATTAGCCCAACACCGAAGCCTACGGTTGTTCGATCGTGAGGCAATGTGGTGTTTAGGTTGGCTTCTGGCATTACTGCTCTTCCCCAGGTACAGCAATGAGTACGGCTTCCCATTCTGGCCCATAGAGGGTGAAAGGCCCGTGGGGGTAGAGACCAAATGTGACAGTTCTGCTCAGACACTAATCAGGTGGTCTGTACCTATTATAACATGATTCATATCCAACTGTGAATGACAGCATGAACAACTGGTTTGGCGTCTTAATTAAGTAGCTTCTAGTTCCTTCTAACCTACTCATACACTGAACATCGTCGCCATAGTTGAGAGAGTAAATGAATCAAATCACAATGAGAATAAAAACTAGTGTTACGATAAGTTTATATCCAGTTAATCGCATTCTTTTCACGACCTATCATCTGGTCTTTGCTACTAGTAGTGTAATCTTGACGATGTCAACTTGCTAAGCTGATATGCTATGACACCTTAGGGTGATGTAAAAAACCATCTAGATCTTAAGTTATGACTTATTAACTTACTTCCACCTAATAATATTCGTGGAGCATAGGCCAACAATCAAGATTCTCTGATTGATTCTGTCCTATGATCTTCTTTCCACTTGTTGCCAGGTCCTATTAATTCTTTTGATTTCTGCCTGCAATCCCCTCAGTAGAGTGTTCTTTGATCTGCCTTTTTCTTTGAGGATTCCAAGTTAGGGTGTGCTTTGTAGTACAGTTATGTGATTTTCGTAATGTGTCCAACCCGTCTTCAGTGTTTTTTCCTGATTTCCTCTTTACTTGGGAGCTGGTATACTTCCTGCTACGGTAGGTTGTGGTTGGTGGAGTATATTATGTAAACAGCAGTCTATTAAACACCTGTACACTGTGATGATAATTGTAGTTCTTCAGATATTAGCTCCATACAATAGAACTTCAAACATTTGTGTTGAAATGTCTGACTAGTGCTATCTGACAACTATTACTTGAGTTTCAGTTATTTCTCCATTGTGGCAATAAGATGTCCTTGCTTGCCTATTCATTGCCTTCATATCTTCATTGCTGCTCAGGTGACACACAAAACTTTTCATCACTTCCAAAGCTTCTCCATCAGTTTAGATTGGTGTTGTATATGAACGAAGATTGAAGGAATGGTAACTTCCCAGACTAATTCATGAATTATTATCATAGATATAATCCTAATTTAAAATTATTAAGAAACTATATGACTACGTTTATCATAAGCATTCTGTTAACCTATAAACTACTGTCATACAACCTTATTGTCCCTATTTTATTACCAATCTATTATTTATAGTCTTCCCCATTCACAACGACTTTTTATGGCTTCTTGATATAGCATAGCTATTTCTTATTTTATGATTTGATACAGTGTGATAAGTCTTTATATAAACAACGACTGTTTGAAATATAGATTAAGTAAAAGAGGTTAGGCATAGAAAAGAGTCAGCGAATAGTAGCAAGCCAATAGGAATTCGTAATTTGTAAATGAAAATTTGAATTTCTCATTTTCGCACCAAAAAAGCGCCTGCAGTTATCAGCTTCAGTTTATATTACCATTAGAAAGGACCCCCCGAAAAACCTGATTGGTTTCGTTTTCTACTTTTCTTCTCCCCAGGAGTACACGCTATTAAAAGGGCGAGGAGTGTTGGGGATGTTGAATCCCCAGAACTCGCTTCATAAATGCCTTATTTTGGATTTCACATTTGCGAGCATAGGCTGATCAGTTGAGCTTGAGAATTCATATCCCACCAGGAAAATCCATGGCTGTGATTGGCTGCTGTATATTTTAGTGTGCTATTTTCGTAACTGTCCCAAGGATGTTTCTATGATGTATAAATAAACGAGATTTGTGTGTGCTTGATTTTATTGTGACTGCTGGGTGTTTGTAGAATATACTTTCTACGCTTATCAAGACTTCTGTTTTGCAGTTTGGGATTTAAGGTAGCCTACCTGGACGCTGGTAATTGTCTCGTTCGTGTTTATTGACTAAGGTGAACTCGTAATAACTTCAAGCGTACCAAGTGACGAACTTATCATAAACCCTAGTGCTTGTTGTTTATTCTGCGTTACTTGTGGATTATATTCTTTTTCTTGCTAAGTCTACACTTCATCTTTTGGTTAGCGGGGTTGGAGGGTAGAGGCACAGCTTAGCTTCTCCTGCTATTATGTTACCGATTAGACGTTCGGTTCGTTGATACCAAATTGTGTCTTAACTATCACAAACATAACAATTAACTCTTTTGTTGCAGTTGTGCTCACAAATTGTTAGCGCTCCATTTTCATGATAACATAAACATTTGTAACGGATTCGAGATCACTATGTATGATGTTGCTAACTCGTTCTGTTTTCTTTCAGTTTCAGGGCGATCAAACACAAACGCTTTGGAAGCTGAAGAACAAGCCCTGAGTGCTCTAAACTTACAGGATGACTCATTTAGACATTGGTACACACTACCCACCTTATTCCTGTAAAAAAAACCCGCGTATTTGATTTTCAAAATAAAAGAGTGCTGTGACAACAACTTCGTGTTCTCTCTTGGTGTGAGGTGTTGAACTAAGCTTGTGTGTTGTGATTTTAGATCCTCTCTGCCCTTCAGTGACTGTTGATTACGCGTGTTACACATTTATTCAAATAATCATAGAAACATATATATAGATCTCTCTGTGTGTAAAAACTACACTTACCCACTTAACCATGAAGGACAATATTCATCGGCATAATTTGACAAAGTAGACCAAACTTCAGAATGTTTATTTAACCAACCATCGGAATCGTCATTACTATTTTGATTATCATCATCTAACATATTTTCATTAGCGTATTCTGCACGTTTATTCACATAGACTTCAATAATTTTTGAACGGAAATTACTTAACAACGTGATAATTTCTTTAGAATGAATAGGTGTATCTGTATGCTCTTGACTACACATAGAATTACAAAAACAACAAGAAAAAAAAGATGTATGCAATTATAATGCGGTACAGAATTGATTGTTAGAAATTAGTGCAAAGTTAGTAATGCAAAAAAAATGGTCCATGTGAGTAGATTATCATCAAATATTTTTGCAATTATGGGGTTGTTGTCAGTTACAATGTGGAACGTAGTACATGATTATATAAGTTCAGTGTGCCATACCGCATTAGCACAGAGACGCAACTGTCAGTTCAAATCCAATAGTGGTAGAGATAGTAGAAGAATTAGCAGTAATGGAGAAGATTAGGGAGCGAAGATATGATTCGAGAAGTAAAATTCAGTGAGATAACCTTAGAAATGGAAAGATAGAGATGATGAGGAATTCGTAAGGTTAGAATTGGAGAGAACACAATGAATGAAGGCACCTACGCCATTGCAAACGATTTTGAGCCATATCGTTCAAGATGTCTAACCATCGGTGACCATCTCGCGCATCCCAACCAAATAGTCTAAACACCTACTCATATAACTCAGTCCAGTTGTCAATGACTTCATGGATTTGGGCCACGTTTTAGTCTGGCCGCCCCTAGCTTTCTTCCAGCCAAAACCTACACCACAAAACATTGCTCGTCGAGGCAGTCGGTGTTTAGGCGTACGTAACACATATCACAACCACCTCAACTAATGAAGTTTCAATACTTCATCTGTTGATCTGCCATCCCTTCCTAGTACTCGTTTCCCAATGGCAGCATCGCTTACTCCGTTGTCCCACGATACACGAGCAATGCTTCTAAGATATCTATGATCGAATACTAGTAACCTGTGAATGTCTTCTACTCTTACCGGCCAAGTTTCGCATCCGTATAGTAAAACGGAGCTAACTGCTGCGCAGTACACTCATCCTTCGGTTAGCGAACGGATATCTCACCTACGCCCTACGTGATGCAAGTTGGCTTACGTTGTTGCTTAGGGTAGTCAGAAAACTCTTATTCAAACCATAAATAGATCACCACCACTAAAAACCTGAAAACATTGAACGGCCGTTTCGTCCTGATATGTGACTCTTATCAGCAGTGCGTATCCACGACTCCTGCACCTCACAAGACTCGAAATCAGGACCTTCGATCTACTCTATCGAATTGGAGGTAATAACAAGGCGGGAATTCGCCAACACATTATTGTTTTAATGAGAAATTCGTATGATAAAGAGTAATCAATCCTTTCTATTACATCATTTACAATGTGGGTCAGTTTGTATTTGTGATATTGACTAACAAATCATTTGTTGGTCAATATGGGTGTACATTGCTAAGAAATTCCAATAGAAATTAAAGGGAAATATAATTGTTCGTTATGCCCTGATTTCCGATTTAGAAAAAATAACTTGTAATAAATAAATAAATAAATTATAATTTGAATAATTAAATATAAAATTTTTATTTTTACTTTTTTTTTAAAAAAATAAAAGAGAAAGTGCAAATCTATCCACACAAAACACATACCCTGATATTTCATAAAGTCTTTGTGATTTGCCTGCTCGAATATTTAAATGCCAAGCACCAGGATTAGCTTTAAGTTGAAAATAACCCTGATAAAAATCAATATATACATATATATATACCATGTAGAGATTAAAAAGAGTTACGATTATTTATTGTTTTTACAATAGACAATGTTTGTTTACAAGAATGCATAATAAATTGAGATGATCATTTTCAAATGTAATTCATTATTATAATTTATTACTGTTAGTGAACGATTTAAATTTTCCATTGATTTGAAATAAAAGGAGAATATCAATTTTTCTCCAATCAATATTGAGATTCTTATTACAGTATGATCATGTCATCACCACCATTAGTTAAGTAATGGAATACACCAACCAGGTTGGATTCTGTGAGACAATAGTAAACCGACGGCTTAAAATCATTTTCAATGACATAGATGCATCGATATACTTTGTGCTTGTTAGGATATTCATCTAATATCCTAACAGAATTATTAGTCTATTCCTATTGGTTAATTCCTAGTGGTCAATTTTATGGTCGTTCTAGATATCAATGTTACGTACTTCAATGCTGTTTCTTATTGGTTCTCCTGACTATCAATGTCACTTCAATTGTTGCTTCCTATTGGTCGTCTTAACTGTCAATGTCACAAAATTCGATGCTGTTTCTTATTCGACCAAAATGTATACATACACATTATGTGTAACATTTTATGACCACGACCAGGACCAGGAGCCGGTCCCTGATCCCTTGTCCAGGATCCTGATTCTCTTCTGGAATCGGACCTCGTACTTTCTGGATGCTTTTAGAATACAGATTCTACTTCATATCAAGTCTTCTTCTTTTACTCAATATGTGGGTTTGGGATAATCGGATTTGAGTAGCATGTCGTGTGGCCGGATCCTCGATCCTCGCTCTCGTTTTCCAACAGATATAACGCAGAACTTCGTATGTAAGTACATCAGTTCAGTGTGCCATACCACATCAGCACAGAGACGTAACTGCCAGTTCAAATCCAAGAGTGATAGCGATAGTAGAATTATTAGCAGTAATCGAGAAGATTAGGGAGCGAAGATATGATTCGAGAAGTATAATTCAGTGAGATAAATTTAGAAGGAGAAAGATAGAGGTGATGAGGAATGCAGAAGCTTAGAATTTCATAGAACACAAACAGTGGATGCACCTGTGCCATTGCAAACGATTTTGAGCCATGTCATTCAAAGTCTCTAACCATTGGTGACTTTCGTCTCGCGGACCCTAACCAGGTAGCCTACATCTACCAACATGATTCAGTCCAGTTGTCAGTGACTTCATAGATTTGTGCCATCAAACAATAAAAGCTGATTTTAGGAGTTGTTTTTATTGCTAGCATTCAATTATTTTTTTTCTGAAATTTAAATAATCTAATATTAGTAGTTAAGATTTGTTGAGCAAAATGTAAGAAAAAAGTAAATTCTATTGAATGATGATAAAAATTTAATTTACCATAAGTTGGTATTGTGTTGTTCATAGGTTTTAAAACAACAGTAAGAGGTTGTTATGTGATTATTTTGTAACCTTTATTTTTAATTTTCATTCATTCATTTATCTAACAGTCAAACTATGTTGGTTAACTATATAAACATTAAAAAGTTTTCGGATCATCTCGTTGTTAAGATATACATTACTAAATTTTGATTAATCTCAGTTAGCATAGTGGTATTATTAGGTCCTACTATGAAATTACACACTTTACATGTGGGTGCATATATCTGACGAGTCCTGTCAGTCAGTCAGTCAGCTACAACGTAGAACTTGATCTCACCTTATCAGTGTAAAGAACCGTCACAGTTTATTCTTCGTAAATCTAAAGATTTACCTACTACTTTCCGTGGCCTGGCTGGTGTAGGTATAGAATAAAGCTTAAAAGCAGAACTAGCTCTCGTAGACTAGATTCTAACAAATAGTTTCTTGTGCATTGTCCTACTGAACGGGAAGGTAAGAACTTTGAAAAATATGAGAACATTTTGTTGCCTCCTCGTTATCTCTGCCTTTGTTCCGATTGATTACGGTTTGGATAAGGTAAAAGATGATTATTACAGAAAGTTTTGCAAACTTTAAAAATCTAAACACATTGTGTTGTAGTAAAATTGTTGGGTGATTTTAATGCACGCGTTGGCATACAGTCAGTTACAACGTAGAATTTCCTACTTACGTACATCATTTCAAGTAGCCATACCACATTAGCACAAACACATGCAATTTTCATTTCAAATCCCTAAGTAGTGGTGAGGTAGTAGAATTATTAGCGGGTAATAAGGAAGATTAAGGTTGGAAGATATGATCCAGTGAGGTAAATTTAAAAAGAGGAAAAAAACGGACATGCGCAATTCACAAGATTAGACAATTTGGTTAGAATTGCGAGTCTGATTCTCTCTTCAGCAAACTATAAGTCCTATGGTCATCTTAGGATTAATTCAGTATTGTTTTTTACCAAGTTAATTGAGTCATTACAACAATGAAAGCCTTTTATTTTTCATGATTACTGAATAATAAGTGAATAAGATTACAATATCAAATAATATCAGTTTTATGATATAATCTCTCCGATTACTGCTAATAATTCTACCATCTCTATCACTATAGGATTTGAATTGACAATCGCATCTCTGCGCTGAAATGGTATGGCAACCTGACTGACTTATGTACGTACGCACGTACCAAGTTCGATGTAATGGCCCGACCGAAGCTGCTACCTTGACATGGCGGTCGGGCTTGCCTATGGTGATGATCCAACCGAGCTATATTGGCTGGAACATATGTTCCTGAAGATTCTACCATGCCAGCCAGGCAGGTCGATTGGAGAACGATGAGACTAAAAGTAGCTACCCAGGGTCTGAGGGCGAAGTCGTATTGCTGACTGCTGAGGGGTGTAATGACAGCAGTAAGGTGTTTCCCTCGGACAACCAGCATCTGCAGCGATGCCGCCTTCTCACAAGGAAGGAAGTGTAAGAAAAGGTCGACCCTAAAAATGTCACACCTCACCCTACCTCACGGAATTCCGTCTCCGTCGGTAAGGGTGCCTACAAATGGCCTTTAAGAGCGGAGCTAACACCAAAAAAACCCATAGAAAGGCCGTGCGTGACCGGCCTCAAGCAGTTGTCTCTTGGGCTCTGTGGTCACGCTCCCAGGTCTCCAAGACCAACACTAATCCATCTTCCTTTTCAGGTCCCTCAAGAAACACTCTTCCACGGTGTGGGCAGCCGGGAAATGATAACCGCAGTCATACCCGTAACAGCACACGATGTAATGCAAGTTATACTGATGTCTATCTAACACCATAAGAAAATAAAATCCAATCAATCCAATTGGCCAATAAGTTTAAACTCTAACACTTACCAAATTAGCCATAACAATTGTATCATATGTTATAGTAGTTGGTGTAGGACCAACAGTGAATTGTAATCCACGTGGTGGCTTCATACTGGCCTCTTCAACACAATGACCTTCAAGTAAAAGATATTCTAATTCAAAAACAGCTTCTACTAAATGTTGTGTAGAACGATAATCAATCAGACGGAGATTGTCTAAATCTTGTTCAGCTTTAATAGCAGCAACCATCCAACCATGTGGTTCATCCATACCCAGAGTAAGCAAAGATTGACCAGGTAAATGAGTGAAATAAGCACGTGGTACAATAACAGACGGATTTGGTAGAGATTCATTTTCTGGAAATAATGATGGTTCCCAAACGAATCGATAAAAACTAAAAACACAAAAAAGAACAGGTTTGCGCATTGAAATCAAGTATTTAGTAGAAACAATGAAATCATCAACATGGGATATTTGTAAAGATTTGTTGGGGATGTTAGATCCCCAGAACTCGCTTGATAAATATCTTTATTTTGGATTTATTTCATAGACTGATAAGTTCACCTTGAGATCACATTTCCCACCAGAAAACTCCTTGGCTTTGATTGGTTACTGTGTCATTTTAGTGTGCGATTTTTGTGACTGTCCCAAGGATTCATTGTGTGCTGGCTGGGTGTTTGTAGAATACACATTCTATGCTATATTGAGGCTTCTTGCTGGTACAATCCGGTCAAGGGATCACAGTAGCCTACTTGGACGCTGGTTCATTTTTTTGTTCTCGTTATTCGAGTAAGGTGAACTCGTAATAGTTTCAGCATACTTAGAGACGAGCATAACAAGAGTGTAGAATGTCGGTTGATTAAATCTTAGCTAAAATGCCGTTGAAAGTAAGGTAGCACTGGATAGCTGTTTCGTCCTAAGCTGAGATTCTTCAATAGTGACCGAACCAAGTACCTTCGGTTTCACACGTAAACGGCAAATATGTATAACTAAATGCTGCAAATTTCTATACCAGGATCAAACAGCTTCCTAGCGCTTCCTGGTTGTCATTGATGGTCCAACCAAGATTTCTACAACGACCATAGTTGTCGCCCTGGAGCCTAAGGTAGCATTTGACTCTGTGGATCATGAAGTTCTGTGGCAGTGTCTGTCATTAAAAGGTGTACCAAAGGAGTACATTAACCTAATACAAGCTCTCTACTCACACACTATGGGTCGAGGTACAGTTTATGGCGAACTGCCATTGGAAATCTTTACTTTATGTGATATCCGTAAGGGCTGTCCCGTCTCTCCATTCTTGTTTAACTATGTCAAAGACATGTTTTTAGAGTAAACATTACCTTCATCTGACTTTCCAGGGATGGGATCTTCTAACAGGAGACACGATTGCTGACTTAGAGTATGCCGATGACATATTATTATAATAAAAGTATGTCTTTACAACTCCATTATTCTTTAACGAATGAGAAAAATACAATACATATATATATATATACACTTACCTTTTCACCGGTAATTCAGATAATGACGGTGATGGATTGAATAACACTTTTATTGTACATGGTAAAGAATGTTGTAATACAATCAATATATGAGACAAGCGTTGTGCATCACGTGAAGCTGGATCCATAATAGCAACCAGTTCAAAATTTGGTTTCTCTTTATTCCCGTGAATAATAAAACCTGAATGATTATATGATACATCTTGAAGATTTATTCTATGTCCATTTTGACTTTTATCAGAAATACCATCTACGGAAGACTAAACACGAATAAAGACAATGAATATCATATAACATATTTTAATGAATGAATAAATATTATTTGATGAACATAATTATAAGTGTGTATAATGTTTAACAAATCACAAAACAAGGGGGATGTGGATTATTATTATGATTATTAGTTATTCGAATGACATAACCTGTCTCTCATATTAGCACGCACTTTATAAATTTGTTGGGGATGTTAGATCCTCAAAATTCGCTTGATAAATGCCTTATTTTGGTTTTCACGTTTGCCAGCATAGACTGATCAGTTGACCTTGAGGTTTCATTTCCCACCAGGAAAATACATGGCTGTGATTGGCTGCTGTGTATTTTAGTGCGCTATTTTCGTAACTGTCTCAAGGACGTTTCTATGTTGTATAAATAAACGAGAGTTGTATGCTTGATTGTACTGTGATTGCTGGGTGTTTGTAAAATATGCTTCTACGCTTACAAAGCCTTTTTACTTCAGACTCGGATTCAAAGTAGCCTACCTGGACGCTGGTTTATTGTCTCGTTCACGTTTATCGACTAAGGTAAACTCGTAATAGCCTCAAGCATACTAAGTGACGAACTATCGGAATTGTTACGATTATATTTATTAGCGACCTCGTCTTGGGTAGGTACTGCATACACCCCACCGGGGTTCAACTCCACTGGTCACGGCTTTCGCACTAGATCTCCGAGAATTTCCTCACGAAGCCAGTAGTCACTAGTGAGCAAATTTTATGATTTTTCATGATAGAGTTATGGAGATCGTTGTTTTGCAATGAAATCGTGAATCAGTCGTCATCGCACAAAAATCCTTGTATTGATCAGAGCTGGATATCGGCTCAGTAGTCTGGAGGTTAGGCATTTGCGTGCAAGACCGAAAATCCTAGGTTTGATTTCTGCTAGTTGCAGGAGTAGTGGATGCACACCGCTGATGAGTCCCATACTAGGACGAAACAGCCACCCAGTGCTATTGTGTTTCTAACGGTGGTCTGACGATGATTGGTTCACGATTTCCATGTAAAGCAATGATCTCTGTAACTTTACAATGAAAAAGTATTTTGGTTAAGAGTAGTAAAAAGTTATCCATTACTATACTGATCGATAATCAGTTGATTGATTCCCAACTTGCTGATTTTTAATACGGTAAAAAAATTAAACTTTATATTTTTAGAGTTATGGAGATTAGTGACTTTACACACTGAAATCATCAGTCAGCTTCGTGAGGAAATTCTCGGAATTCTAGTGAGAAGACGTGACCAGTGGAGTCTAACCCTGTGGGTTGTAGGCAGTAACTACCAAAGACAATTGGATGAGGTCGCGCAAAATCCCTAGATTGATCAGAGTTAGACATTGACACTGTTGGATGCCGACCCAGTAGTCTAGAGGTTAGGCATTCGAGCGCATGACCAAAGGTCCTGGGCTCTAATCCCGCAAAGTTCAGGAGTCATTGACGCGCACTGCTAATAAGTCCCATATCACGATGAAACGCCTGTCTAGTGCTTCCAGGATTCTGATGATGGTCTAACAACTTTATATAACATTTGAAATTATTCGATCAATAATTATCAGATGCTTCATTTCAAAACAATACCAGATTATTAACTAGAAATGTAATTTTAGAAATTTAATGTATACTAAAACGCGAAGGACTAACCGTTTCAGATATCACTGAACTGGTAGCTTCAATACCGGATTGAAGAACTGAAGATAATCGCCAAGTAAGTTCTGAGATGGTGTCAGGACCACCGACTGTTTTGTCCAAAATGTTGTCTAATTTATCGCCAAGCTCTTTAGCACCATTTTTCAATGCTAAACGTTCTGCTAGACGAAAATCATCCGAGGTAAATTCTTCAAATGGTTCAAATGGGCCGACTATCTAAAATAAATTAAATAGTGAAAATCATTATTACTATTATTATAATTGTTATCACAGTTTCAAATGCCTCTCGTTCGCTCTTATACGGTCGTGTATCCTGGGACAACCGTATAAGCAATGCTGTCGTTGGGAAACGAGTTCTAGGTAAGGATGGAAAATCAATAGATGAAGTAATGAAACTTCATCAGTTGAAGTAGTTGGGACATGTGTTACGTATGGCTAACGACCGACTGCCGCGACGAGCTATGTTTTGTGGTGTAGGAGTAGGTTGGAAGAAAGCTAAGGGTAGCCAGACCAAAACATGGTACAAATCCCTGAAGTCACTAACAAGTGGACTGAGTCATGTTGGTAGATGTAGACTACCTGGTTGGGGTCCGCGAGACGAAAGTCACCGATGGTTAGAGACCTTGAACGACATGGCTCAGAATCGTTTGCAATGGCGCAGGTGCATCCACTGTTTGTGTTCTATGAAATTCTAAGCTTCTGCATTCCTCATAATCTCTACCTTTCTCCTTCCAAATTTTTCTTACTGAAATATACTTATCGAATCATATCTTCGCTCCCTAATCTTCTCGATTACTGCTAATACTTCTGCTATCTCTATCACTGTCGGATTTGAACTGACAGTTGCGTCTCTGTGCTGATAGGGCATGGTAACCTGAACTGATGTACGTACGTACGAAGTTCTGTATTGTATCTGTCCTGTCCTCTTTTCAAAAAATCTATCAACAACACCTAAAGTGTTCTCCGATTGAATTGAGCAGAGTGAAAGCATGTTTTATTGGAAATTTTGAGTATATCAAGTGCAATCATTTTTCTATAAAATGATATGAAACTTGTGATGAATACATTCCAAGTCAGTCAGTCAGATGCAACGTAGAACTTTGTACGTAAGTACATCAGTTCAGGTTGCCATACCACATCAGCACTGAGACGCCAATGTCAATTCAAATCCAATAGAAGAAGAGTTAGTAAAGGAATTAGAAGTAATCGGAGAGGTTAGGATTAGAAGATATTATTCAAGAAGTATGATTCAATGAGATAAGTTTAGAAAGTCAAAACTAGAGTTGTTGAAGAATCCAGAAGATTAGGATTTGAGAGAATACAAAGAATAAATGCACTGGCGCCATTGCGAACGATTTTCAGCCATGTCATTCAAGGTCTTTAACCATCGATTATTATCATCTCGCGGACCCCAACCAGGTAGTCGACAATTACCGACATGGCTAAGTCCACTCGTCAATGACTTCATGGATTTGTGCCATGTTTTGGTTTGGCCACCCCTAACTTTCTTCCAACCTATTTCTACACTACAAAACAAAGCTCATCGAGGCAGTCGGTGTTTAAGCATACGCAAGACATGTCCCAACCACCTCAACTGATGAAGTGTCACTACTGCGTCTACTGATCTGCCATACTTACCTAGCACCCGTTTCCTAATAACAGCGTTGCTCACTCGAGTGTCCCACGATATACGAGCAATGCTTCGAAGACACCTATGATGGCAACTTTTTTTGTTAACCCTTACATGTAACGCTACGTCGCTAGCCAACCATCTATCTGTATCGTGCTTTTACTTTGTTTACATTTATTACTTATTATTCATTGATTGATTGAGGTTATTATTGCCAACTGCGTTATTTTTGTTTTACATCGACATTCTTTGACGCCACCTGCTGTTATAGTGAATTATTATTCATTTTTATATCAGCAAAAAATGGAAACACGTTTCTTGTTTTTTGTTAGAGATCTCTCTCTATATGATCACATTAACAGCTAATATTTAGTTATTTGACTGATTATCAGATTTTTGAATGAAATCGAATTGATCTATTCTCATTTTTTTCTCTCTCAACATAACATCAATTCTTGCTCAGCAGGAAAACATTTTCCTAGTTTTCAATCAAGTCAGTAAGTCGGCTGCAACGTATCTACATACATCAGTTTAGGTTGCCATACTACATTAGCATAGATATATGCAACTATCATCTCGCGGACGCCTATAAAGTTGTCAACGCCTACCAACATGACTCAGATCAGTTGTCATTCACTTCATGAATTTGTGATATGTTTTGGTTTGGACGCTCATAGCTTTCTTCCAGCCCACCCACAAAAAATCGCTCATTGATGCAGTCAATGGTTGAGCATACGTAACACATGGCCTAATCAACTCAACTGATTAAGATTCACTACTTCGAAGGTGATGTGTAATCAGTTCATATTCTGACTGTTCAAGTATATCTGTTTTTGAGTATGTTTCTGTTCAACTTTTGTACGCTTTGATATGCAATTATTTGCAAATATTGTTTTTAGGTCAAATTAATTCAAACTGAGAAAAATGCAACTAAAGAATCGAATAGTATGAAACTATTTGAATCCATAAGAGAGGTATTAGGAGGTGTAGGAAGAATTTGATTTTGACCAATTTGGTCTCGTGTGCTGTTACGGGTATGAGGGCGGTTATCACTTCCCGGCTGCCTACACCGTGGAAGGTTGTTTCTTGAGGGACCTGAAAAAGAAGATAGATTAGCATTAGTCTTGGAGACCTGGAAGCGTGACCGCAGAGTCCAAGGGACGGCTGCTTGAGGCCGGTCACCCACGGCCTTTTGATGAAGGGTTTTTTGAGTTTTAGCTCCGCTCTTGAAAGCCCCTAGTGGGCACACTTACCCAAGGAGACGGAAATTCGTGAGGTAGGGTGAGGTGTGACATTTTTATGGTCGACCTTTTCTAATCCTTCCTACCTTGTGAGAAGGCAGCATCGCTGCAGATGCTGGTTGTCCGAGGGAAACACCTTACTGCAGTTCCACCCCTCTGCAGTCAGCAATACGACTTCGCCCTCAGACCCTGGGTAGCTACTTTTATTCTCATCGCTCTCCAATCGACCTGCCTGGCTGGCATGGTAGAACCTTCAGGAACATAAGTTCCAGCCAATATTGCTCGGTTGGATCATCACGATAGACAAGCCCGACCACCACGTCAAGGTAGCAGCTTCGGTCGGGAAAAATAACGGGGCGGAGTGCACACATATCGCATACAACTCTCTTTGAACCTAGCACACAACAATAGCTTCATGTACTGTCCCATGGCAGATCAGGCAACCCGAAAGCCACGAGAACACCATCAGAGCATGTGATAGGCTCTATCAAATCCTGATCTTCTGGATTCGTCAACACCTCTACCCTTGCCTTTCTAACCTTATCTCACTGACTGAATTATACTTCTTGAATAATATCTTCAAACCCTAGTCTTCTTCATTACCATTAATACTTCTACTATCTTTATCACTATGGGATTTGATTTGATATTTGCGTCTCTGTGCTAATGTGGTATGGCAACATGAACTTATGTACATACGTACGAAGTTCTGCGTTGCAACTGACTGACTGACTGATTTGATTATCGTATTCTCCGATAAATGCAGACATGATCTCTAGTCAGATTAAAAATAAACACAAAAGTACGAAAAAAGCATAACACTATAAATGTAAAATTGGAACTTATGTACAAAGTAGTCACAGGGTGTTCAAAAAATGATCAGAAAATAAAGCATCATATAAAACAAAGAGAGATAATGAAATAATTTTTACGCATTGAATATCAACTTGAAAATTCGACAATTGAGTTTTTTTCTTAAAACAAACAAACAAAGACTAATCATTGAATTATTCAATTGAAACCGATTTTTTTATGATTTTATCTTGTTTGTTTAAACACTGAGCATTGAAAACACTTCCAATTGTAAAATATTTGATTTTTCAAATACTGCACGGTCAATTTAAGCCTTGTTTCATTTACAGTGACTTTAACAACTAAATAATAATAATAATAACAATAATAATAATAATCAGCGACGTAGAACATCGTACGTACATACATCAGTTCAAGATACTATACTACATTAGCACACAGAAACGAGTTTGTCAATTCAAATCCCATAGTAGTAGAGGGAGTAAAGGTATTAGAAGTAATTGGAGAGGTTAGGATTACAAGATATTATTCAAGAAGTAGAATCTAGTGAAATAAACTTAAAAGTAAAAAGATAAGCGTGATGAGGAATTCAGGTCATGATTCGGGAGAACATAAAGAATCGATGCATTTGCGAAATTGCAAACGGTTTTGAGCTATGTCATTCAGGGTCTCTAACCATAGATTTATAATAATAATAATAATAATAATAATAATAATAATAATAATAATAATTCCACCGACCCATACACATAAAGAGCATAACTTAAAGATGAGTAAATATAAACCGATAATTTGTATTTGCATTACATCAAACAAAATGAAGTGCATCATTCTTGATGCAATTTACAAATATGTTGGATACATTATTAAATGCTATTTTTTTTTAAAAAAAAAACTTACTTTACCATTCACCACAACCGCCCGTTCACCCGGTTTCAAACCAATAATATGACGAGCAATTGTTGAATGCATTTGCATAAAATCATTTCGATCAATTAACTGGATCGCATCATGTATTTGTTTGAAATCCATGCCCTGAATTAAAAAAAAACACATACAAATTATTATAGCATGAACTGAACGAAAAAATATCATTTGAAATCATCAATCAATCATTGTTAGACCACCATCAGAAACCTGGAAGCACTGGATGGACGTTGGATGCCGGCCCAGTGGTCCGATGGTAAGGCGTTCGCCTACAATGCCAAAGGTCCCGGGTTCGAATTCTGCGAGGAGCAGGAGTCGTGGATGCGCACCTCTGATGAGTCTCATACCAGGACAAAACGGCCGTTCAGTGCTTCTAGGTTTCTAATGGTGGTCTAACAATGATTGATTGATGATTTCAAATGTGTAAAAACGCGAACCTCCAAAACTGTGCCCCGAAAAAATATCATTTGGTAAATGGCATATCGAAAAGGATAGAGCAAGAGTTGTTTCATTTTTTCTTCAAACTTTATCAATCTTTATCATTTAAGGTATGAGGAACTCTGCATGTACATCTTTCGAGGCTACTACCGGTCCCAGGCTCGGATAAAGCAGGAGGGTTGAGCTTGGGGTTAGCGACCCCATCCCGCAAAAAACTAACTCGCTAAAAAAACGCTAACAAATAAATCTGAAGAGGAAAAAAGTCATGAGGAATTGAGAAGATAAGAATTTGAGAGAAAACAAAGAGTGGATGCATTTGCGCTATTGTATACGATTTTGAGCGATGTCATTCAAGGCCTTAAACCATGGAGAAAATGGAAAACCCTGACGCACACCACTTATAGTAATAAATTCCGATGACAGTTCGTCATAAGCTCTCACTCCACCAGTACACCTTTCAATGACAGATACTTTCAGAGAACCTCGCGATCAACAGAGTCAAATGCCACCTTAAGGTCAAGGAATACAACTATTGTTAGACGTCTGAATGTCTGTCTATGTTCTAAAATCTACCAAAGCGTGAATATCTGGTCTATACAGCCACGTCCACATCGGAAACCAGCCTGGTTTTCTCTAGTTCGCTCTTTACGAGTTCTACTTAGGCGTCCAAGTATTATTGAGGCCAATATTAGATACTATGTGATTATCAAAAAAGGACTTTCACGCTTTCTTATAGACTGGGACGATCAGTGATTGAAACTAGTCGGATTGAAGTCTACAAGTCACTATCTTCAACTACATGTAATGGACAGAATAAATTTACTAACAACAATGAAAGCATACAAAAAAAGACAAACAACTTACTGAAACTAAAAGTTCTTCTAATGATTTAATTGGTTTAGAAGTTTTCATCGATTCTAACATTTCTTTGAATAGACGTAAAGCAAAATTACGTGCTGGCATTTGTTCAGTATATTTTCGTTTAGCCACTAATTCATTATTCAATTGATCAGATGAGGATGTGTTCAATGGATGACCGACCAGATAAAGTACACGTGTTAACCAACGATCAGTTGTTGATGATGATGGCGATGATGGTGTTGTGGTTGCTGCTTTATCTGTGCTCTTAGTTAATTTGGTCAATAATGGATTATAGATAAAACCGATACGTAAACCTTTTGTCGACTGACTACCACGTAGAAATGTTATTGCATTCAAGGCTAAATTGAAATCCATTTCAAGTTGAAGACGATCTGTTTCGGGTAAATTTGATGAATTGACAATTTCATCTAAATCACCAATAACTATCCACATTGTAATTGGTCGAATTGATGCTTCTAAATCTTTGAAAAATAATGATAACAATAATTCTTATTTTTTTTATTAAAGTCAACACAAAGCTTCATAGATAGCTTAATAAATAATATCAGTTGGTTGAATGATAAATGTAACTTATCAAGTAAGCCAATGTTGCGGCTAGTGAACCTATTGTAGGGTTCGTCACTAGGTACGCTTGAAGCAATTACGAGTTCACCCATAGTCGAGTCAATTACCAGCGTTCAGATACGCTATCTTGAATCCCAAGCTGAAGATAGAAGACTTTGTAAGCGTAGAAAGTATATTCTACAAACACCCAGAAATCACAATACAATCAAGCATACAACTCTCGTTTATTTAAACATCATAGAAACGTCATTGGGACAGTCACAAAAATAGCACACTAAAATACACAGCAGCTAATCACAGTCATGGATTTTCCTGGTGGGATATGAATTCTCAAGGTCAACTGATCAGACCATGCAGGCAAACGTGAAGTCCAAAATAAGGCATTTATCAGGTGAGTTCTGGGGATCTAACATCCCCAACACCTATGCTGTCGGCAAGATCGAAGTATATTGTTACGCATGCACGTAAACACATCAACTTGATATGCTTGAATTATTACGAGTTTACCTTAGAAAACAAGAGCGAGGATCGAGGATCCGGCCACACAACATGCGACTCTAATCTTATTATTCCAAACCCCGATTGAGTAAAAAAAGAAGACTTGAATGTGAAGTAGAACCTGTATTCTACAAGCATCCAGAAAGTACGAGGCCCGAGTCCAGAGGAGAATCAGGATCCCGGACTAGGGATTCGTGACCGGGTCATAAAACGTTACAGATAATGCGTATTTATACAGTTAGGTCGAATAGGAACAAACATCGAAGTCTGTGACATTGACAGTTAAGGCGACCAATAGGAAACAACATTTGAAGTGACATTAACAGTCGGGACTACCAATAAGAAACAAAATTGAAGTACGTGACATTGATATCTAGGACGACCATAATATTGACCAGTAGGAATTAACCAATAGGAATTGAGCAATAATTCTCTTAGGATATTGGATGAATATCCTAACATAAAACAAGGTTTTAGCCTGAAGCCTAATTGTTGGATGTTCTAAGCACTATGCCACTGTTTAATTCGCAGGTAGAAAACGATTTAATTTCCTCATTATATTCTAGAAAGGCACGTACAAGTAGTACAACAGTAGAAGTAGGTTATGTACAAGCTACAGGATTCTCACAACTAACTATCGATAAGTTACAAGAACTTTTGTACCTTCTCTACCATATCAAAACACATTAAAGGCAGCCATAATTTGAAAAGTGAAGAGAGCAGTGATTTAGCGTTGGTCTTTTAGCTATTAAGTCAGGTTCTTGTCAGCAGAATATGGATTTGATTGAAGCATACTCCATGAAGAATTATGTTGAATCACGCTGATTGACCAATTTTCAGCCAATCAGAACCAACGGATAAATGGGGAAGACTCTAGAATCTTCTTGGAATAAAATTATAAATACACTGACACAAATTCAACTTGATTCGATTATGGGACATAACTGTATGCTTGTCCAATCGAATGGAGTAGTGTCCGTAGAATACTGGGCAAGAAAAGTAACTAGGTCGAATATGAAAGACTTAACGGGTTTCACTTATTTCTGCTACCTTGACGTGGTAGTTGGCTTTGGATATCGTCATGACCCACTCGGACTAAACTGGCAGGGGCACTAGTTCTTATATGTCAGGTTGCTTGGAGGGCAGTAAGACTAAGAGCAGCAGAGTCGTGATTCGAGAGTGAAGTCGTACTGTCAACAGTAAGAAAAATATTCTAGTTTCCAAATATCTGCCAGTGCTGACTGGGTAAGAATGGGTTAATCAGCATGCTTCAACATAATACTAGATGGAGCATGCCTTTCATATGTTTGGATGAGCGGCACCAATATACTGACTAAAGCCTTTTTGTTACCTCTCCACCATGTTTATGTGTCAGGAAGGTCTTCAAAAATAGAGGGCGAATCGGACGGATTTCATACTATTAAGGATGTCATCTTCCTGCCTAACACTTACCTTCATTAATATGCGCGTCTTTGATGACTGTCTTTATTAATACTCACCGTTTTAATGGCCTCCCTTTTGAGACTGTGAATCATGCTGTTAAGAATTTTTATTAGCCTACTTCAAAACAGCTGTTTAATGTATCTATTGTTTTAATAATGTTTCTTATTTCAAACCATCAACAAAAAAATAGTAGAAGGTGGAATTCCGAATAAACATGACACACTCTCTGTTTGAGTAAAACTGACAATGTGCATAACAGTATTTTCATCGCACGCATAGTTGTCATTTATCAAACAAGAGAACAGCTAATAGATGAATAAAGGAAGCATACTTTAAGATGGTGGAGTTTGTGCTGATGATGTTGTTCATTAGAAGAAAAATGGAAGCTCCACAACCAAAACATCCAGCTCAGAGAACCAAACACCACCAACACAAAGGAAGCATACATTTAATTTAATTTAATTTAATTAAAAAAAACCCACTTACATTCATCTTACCTCCTTTTTGAAAGTAGCGCATCTGATTCATGAATGATTCTAACAATTGTGGAAGTGGTGGTACATTTTCATCCACTAATGAGTAAGTGTGTGTGTATGTGTGTGTGGAGGTGCATAGATGAAGAGGAAAACGAAAAGAAAACAATTATAAAAAAGGAATATGAATCACTTAAACATGAAAATGTCCCAATTTTTATTCAAATTTATTTAAATAAAATAAGCGATCGGGATTTAATTCATGCATTGAATAAGTAATTCTATCTATTACCTTTATTACATACACACTTTGTTACGCCTGCACGTAAACATGTCAACTTGATATACTTGAACTATTACGAGTTTACCTAGTCGGAAAACGAGAGCGAGGATCGAGGATCCGGCCACATGACATGCTACTCAAATCCGATTATCACAACCCCCATATTGAGTAAAAATAAGAAGACTTGAATGTGAAGTAGAACCTGTATTCTAAAAGCATCCAGAAAGTACGAGGTCCGAGTTCAGAAGAGAACCAGGATCTCGGACTACGGATCCTGGACCGGATATTGACACTTAAGACGACCAATAGGAAGCAACATTTGAAGTGACATTGATAGTCAGGACAACCAATAAGAAACAACATTGGAGCACGTGACATTGATATCTAGGTCGGCCATAAAATCGACCAGTATGAATTAACCAATAGGAATTGACCAACAATTCTTTTAGGATATTGGATGAATATCCTAACACACAATGTGGGACAGTTTAGAATTTTACAAACAGTGCAAGTTGTGATACTTTCTAACGAATAACATTTCTACAACTTTGGTTTAAATTTATTATTTGTACCTGCCTCCAGGATAACGGTGAATTATTTGATTATTTTCCAAATGTACTCCTCAAACCTGTCGCCTACGAATATTACTAATTTTAAAAATGGTATATTTCGTCATTACAAAACCCACTACTTATGAAGTGATTACGTTTTAAATAACAATACGCTGCAGTAATTCGTTAATCACTGGTTTCAACTAAAGTTCGATTTATGTTTTTATTATTTAAAACATAAACATCGGTACAAAGAGGCATCTAAATATTTATGAACCACATTAAATTTGTATGTGGGTTAGGATATTGTTCGACAGCCTAAGCCAAAACAGACGGTTTACTAAAGGGGATGCACCTTGAGCTGTTAATATATCCATTCCCAAAGTCTTTGATCTACAGGTCTAATCTACAAGACAGTGGAAAAACGTCAGGGGATGCAGTCCCATGGTAACACCAGTGACTAATAATAGGTTTACATGTCATTTGCCCCCTCAGGATCCTAAGGGCTCACATATGCACCAATGGTTTGCAATCAGAGTTCTTCAACTGCCTTCCATATTTATCAACCCGGTTAAAACGCCAAACATTAGATTCTTCATTCTCTCAATTTTGTAAACAATACCCTCGCCGTGAAAATGCAGTGGGTAAAACTCTCTAGTCTGTGTATGCATACGCGTGACTATAAAGGAGCATTTCCAGGAGATTGGACTCTCTCAACTCTTAACCATATCAGGGCATTTGGAGCCCAAAATACATTTATTTTCTAAGGTGTCTGAGAGTGTGTGCCGAAATAGATCCATCACATAATTCGATGGATATCACCGCATAAGTGATATACATACCTTTGCAACGGAATTCAATAATTCAGGGAAAAGCATTATATTTAAAGAAGTTGAATTTGTAGTAGAACAGATGTTTAAAATGCAGTAAATGCAACTGACTACAAGAACAACTAATTAGATAATACTAAAGGTAATCACAATTAGCCATGGCACATTAAAACTATCATTTACATACAAACAAACGAAAATTAACTAGAAAGTGTAATATCAAAAAAAAATGCAAAACATGTGAATACTGTTCAATTAAATATAAAGTAGCATATTTAAAATTTAGTGAAATATGTAGAATGAATACATCTCTGGTTATGCTCAAAGTATTCAATTATTGCATTACAAAACTGAGCATTTCGATAAGAGATTTTATAGTCTCTTATACTCGACTTGAACCAATCAGTGATGGAAATGATTGAGTATTTTGTTCTATCGATATTATTGTCAATACGCAAGATCAGTGGGAGATGGAAAACAGCAATGTCTAACTAAATGACGATTACATACAACCACAAATGGTATACAGATCACTAATTGTGTAATAATGCATTCAAGTGTAAAGTGATTCTTAAACCAAGAGGTCAATAGTTTAAAGTTAACTACACTCACTAACCATGACATATTTTGAGGATAGTTTGCACTAACAACTCAATTTATCAAGATACCAGTTGAAAATCAGGGAACACTGAACAGGTGTCTTGTCTCACCAGTCTGAGACTAGTCAGAGACCAAATCCAAGGCTCACATACCTAGAACTAACTATGCTACTTTAAGTTAATTTTGGTCCCGACTTACAACCTGACTCATTTCATAACATCACACAATTACCATAAACAGGATTTGATTTTGACCAATTTGGTCTCTCGTACTGTTACGGGTATGAGGGCGGTTGTCACTTCCCGGCTGCCCACACAGTGCAAGGAAGACCGGTCACGCACGACCTTTTTATGAGAAGTTTTTTGAGTGTTAGCTCCGTTCTTAAAGGCCCTTAGTGGGCACCCTTACCGACGGAAACGGAAATCCGTAAGGTAGGGTGAGGTGTGACATTTTTAGGGTTGACCTTTTCTAACCCTTTCTTCCTTGTGAGAAGGCAGCATCGCTGCAGATGCTGGTTGTCCGAGGGAAACACCTTACTGTTATCACACCTGTCTACAGTCACCAGTACGACTTCACCCTCAGACCTTGAGTAGCTACTTTTAGTCTCATCGTTCTACAATCGACATGCACGGTAGAACCTTCAGGAGCATAAGTTCCAGCCAATATAGCTCGGCTGGGTTATCACGATATTCAAGCCCGACCACCACCTCAAGGTAGCAGCTACGGTCGGGAATTACCATAAACTACCATCGGTGATAATCATCTTACTACAGACATAACTGAACTACACATTCACTACGAATTCTCAGTAGAACTTTCAGAATTCTTTGCTAATTTAGTCACAAATGATTCATAGTTAACAATGTTTTTTCTGGATTAAACAACTAAAAACATAATTAAATATAAAAACAAATTTTTTCAAGAAAAACTATACATACACATGCTCTTTGACATAGAATATCCATTGAAATTGATATATTTCGGTGATGTAGCAGATCCGCCTTGATTCGCGTTATCTTTCTTTTTATTTAATAATCGTGTATTAAATCGTGGAACAATAGTTGCAGTCTTTTGATATAAATCAAATATTGTTTGAGAATTGCTCATTTGACCTTGAAACACAGCTGTCTGTACACGCATTAATTCTTCCATGCACAAAGTAACCACCGTATCTTCAAAACCACCAATTTTTCTAATCCCTTCATTATCTAATATAATTCCATTGAAAAGTAACAATGGAATTTTCTTGATTGATTGAAGTCCAGATCGAATAAGAAATTCATGATGAGACTAAAATTTAAATTTTTTTTTATCAAAAAACAAGGTTCAGTCATTTGATTTTTTAATGTGTTGATTACAGAGAAGTAGTTAACACAGAGAATATAACAGTATATAGTTGTGGTTATTGAATTTCATTGAAATCATAAATTGATCAAATGTTAGACCATCATTAGAAACCTGAAGGCATTGGATGGCGGTTTCATCCTAGTGTGAGACCCATCTCTACATCAACGATAACGGGTGGGATCGCGCAATATCGCTGACTGATTAAAGTTACACATTAACATCGTTTGATGCCGACCGACGCAGTGGTCTAGAGGTTAAACCTTCACGCGCGAGACTGAAGGTCCAGGGTTTGATTTCCGTCAGCTGGTTCGCGGATGCTGCTTACTACTCATGAGTCTCATACTAGGAGGAAACGGCCGTCCCGTGCTTTCAGGTTTATACTGGTGGTCCAGCATTGATCGATTCATGATTTCAGTAAAACAAGAAATACAGTTTGAAAGGAACAAATAAAATCAAGGAATAAAAAACATGAAATTATATTAAAAGTCAACATTTAGAAGGAAATAAAACAAGAAATATAGCTGGATCAATACAAACAGTTTCGAATCACGTCCTCTAAGTTATCCCGATTATTGATCACGATTATTATGCAGAACCTCCCGACCAAGAATTCTGCATCTGTCAACGCGGTTCAGACTAACAGTCAGTCACCTCATAGGTTGATTTTATGTTTTGATTTTTTTTGTCCTGATATGCTCGAAAGTATTACGAGTTTGGCCTACTCGGTAAACAGAACGGACAACAATGACTCAGTGACACGATAAGCTATTTTAAGCCGATTGTTTCAGGCCCCACTAACTAGAGTAAGAAGTCTTGATAAGACGTACAGAGAATGTATTTCACAGGCACCCAGAAAGTACGAAGTCAACACTCACACAACTCAAGCTTATTTGTACAATGATAAAAACATCCTTGTTGAGAGCCACAAAATAGCGAACTAAAATAATCCATCAACCAATGACAGTCAAGGATTTTGCGAGTGGAAAATGTAAGCTAAAGGTCACGATGAGTGTCTTTAGCGCGAAGACATAAATATCAAAATTTCAGAAATAAATTACAAAACTAGGACCTTTTCCAAGTGAATTCTGGGGATCCAACTTCCCCAACATGTCCCTACCCTTTTAACTTTTCTATAAGCCAACGAAGATAGTGCGTTAACATAAGCAACGTTTATATATGTGTAGCATCATAAAAGTTTCTATCCAATTGACTATTTTAAATTTATGCGCTCATGAAAGGGTAGGGGAAATAAAACATACACACAATCATAATGAATATGAAAAAACTTTTATTTACATAAATGAAATCGTACAGGTTAAGAGGGAAATTGATAAGTTCGTCACTTAGTATGCTTGAGGCTATTACGAGTTTACCTTAGTCGATAAACGCGAACGAGACTTTTACCAGCGTCCAGGTAGGCTACTTTGAATACCCAAAGTCGAAATAAAAGGCTTTGTAAGCGTAGAAGTATATTCTACAAACACCCAGCAATCACACAATACAATCAAGCACACAACTCTCGTTTATTTATACATCATAGAAACATCCTTGGGACAGTCACAAAAATAGCACACTAAAATACACAGCAGCCAATCACAGCCATGGATTCTCCTGGTGGGAATTGAAATCTCAAGGTCAACTGATCAGCCCATGCCGGAAAACGTGAAAACCAAAATAAGGCATTATCAAGCGAATTTCGGGGATCTAACATCCCCAACAGAAATAGGTCATAATTAAGCAGCAAAGATTTAATCACTTAATATTCAAAAGACACATTATTACAAAGTAGATTAATGTATACTCGTATTGCTTTATCCACAACCGTAGCTACAAGGTTACATGTAACAACTACCTATACTCAATAATCTTCTATAATAAATCGAATTAATGGAGCGTGGATAGAATATCGCTAGCAGTCTAATCCAGCTCGTGCGTTTCGTACTACTTGACACTCGTCAGCTGGATGTACCTGCACTTTCGGAAGAACATAATAACAGAACGAAAAAAAAGAAAAGAAGGAAGCACTAACTTACAGTAACTTCATTATCATAATCACTATTACCCGGTAACGGTGTAAATATATCATCAGAATCAGCTGATGGAAATAATTTCTCAAATTTACGTTTAATTAAATCCATACTTAATTCATTTTGATTAGATTTTTCAGCATTCGCATAAATTTCAGTTAAAAATGATAATGCAGCCATTGGACCAGGTGAGCCTAAACCATCAATTTGTACAGGAAATGGTGATTCACGTGAATTAATAATACTAGATGATATATACGAGAAGATACGAGTTAATATGAGACTAGTTGAATTCACTTTTGGATTTACTGCCCAAATAATACCGAAACTGTGAGAAAAAAAAAAACAAAAATGAAATAATAAATCAGTTTAATAGTACAATAAAAAAAAAATGTAAATATACAAAAATCCATGAAAAGACGATATTGAACAAATTGGATTTAAAAATCGAGGTCATCTTGACAACTTGTGAACTGCATTCATCATACTTTACTTCGTTGACTTAACACTGGACAACTGTTTTGTTCTATTGTAGGAGGTAGTGGATTACTTACTTACTTACTTTCGCCTGATACCCCCAATGGAGCATAGACCGTCGACCAACATTCTCCAACCTACTCTGTCTTGGGCTTCCAATTCCAGTTCTGTCCAATTTTTGTTCATTCTTCTCATGTGTGTATCCATTTCTCCGCGTAATGTGTTCTTTGGCCTTCCTCCTTTCCTTTGGCCCTGAGGACTCCAAGTGAGGGCTTGTCTTTTTTTGACGCAGTTGAGTGCTTTCTGCAATAAGTGTTCTATCCGCCTCCAGCGCTTCTTCTTGATTTCTTTTTCCATTGAAATCTGGTTTGTTCTTTCTCGTAGTACGTTGTTGCGGAAGGTGTCTGACGAACGAATCCAAAGCCTTTTGCGTAAACAACTGTTAATCAATGCTTGTATCTTCTGGATGATGGCTTTTGTATTTTTCCGAGATTCCGCCCCATACAGTAGAACTTTCTTGATATTTGTATTGAAAATTCAGATTTTGGTGTTTGTTTGGGGTTCCAGACGTTGTTCAAATGTAGAAACGCTGTTCTTGCTTTGCATCGGATTCACCTTGCTCGTCAATGATTCTGCCCAGATATGTAAAAGTTCCTACAACTTCCAAAGCTTCTCCGCCAAATGTGATTTGGTTGACGCATGTTGTGTTGTAACGGAGAATCTTGCTTTTCCCTTCATGTATGTTGAGAAATGTCGCTGCTGAGGCTGCTGCTACGCTGGTCCTCTTCTCGTGCATTTGTTGTTGCGTGTGCAATAGAAGAGCTAGATTATCTGCGGAATCCAGATCTTCCAGCTGAACTCTGGCTATCTACTGTATACTGTGCTTCCCTCCAGATATTAACGTCTTCATAATCCAGTCGATCACCAGGAGAAATTCAACAATCTCAACAACCCTACAGTAATACTATGTAAATTTATATATATCTTCGCTTCTGTTGTTCAAAATATCCATGAAAGTCATGAGAATTCAGGTTCTTCAGCCGATCTTTCATTTCACTATTTTTTACAAATAATTTTCCTAATTTAAAATATTTTACTGGAATTACACAATACATACAATAAGAAATACAAAAAAATCAAATCCAATCAACCAACCATACCACTTACCGTATTGCTGTCATATGCAAAAGAAAAGATTCAGTTAATTTTAACATTTCACGACTTTCCATTGAAACTGGATCAATGATTAAGATAACATTATATAAATTTTTACGTATTCTACGTAGACCACCAGAAAAATCAAAATTGAACAATGTATGCAGCGAAGATGGCCAATAAGCATAAGCTGAATCAGTTTCTAGATTATTGATATAATTAATGGGTGCATTGGATAAATCCAGTACAAATTGATTCGATAAACTATGTCTTGCACCTGGTATACTTGGATCATTCGATGTGGAAGCAGAACCACTTGATGAACCATAATCAATGATTAGTTGTGAAATATTTGGACCCTGTTCAAAAAAAGGAGAGCATAGAACAGTAAAGATTGTTTTGAATAAGCTACTTAAATGTTGAATAAAAGTAGTCGGCTTCAAAAAGAAATAAAAATAATGAGCTACACTAAATGAGCTAGTCGTTAGTACAACACTTTCTACACTAGAGAAATTATATGGGGAATCATTGAGGTATATATTTCATTGAGGATGTATTATTCCCCATTTTAAAAGGGTACATATTAAGCGCTAACTCGATGACCAGTATGAGCTCATTTCGACCAAACTTTATCGAAGGTAAGACTACTTCCGACATTTGACAATACTGATTACAAATGAAAGACAAGGGATGGTCTTTAATAACAGAATCTCTATTGATTCTGGAACCGGGGGTATTACTATAAAATACGTCTATGAATACATTTCCAAAAGACCTACAAAAGCACAAGACAAATAAGTCATATGAATTCGACAGATATAAGCAAACAACACTGTTGAACTTGAATGACTATGAATATAACCTTGGGATATTTACATCCCAAATAAACCATTAGGAATGTAGATAAGTTAAGTCAAACAACAAATTATCATTCGTGGGTGTACTAATCACCAGAACTGATACAAGAAAGCGGGAGACTCAGGTATTTCGTAGGCCAACTCACACAGAACTAATTCTTAACTACAGCAGCAACAACCCAAGGACTTACAAAATCAATTGCGTACAAACTTTGTTCAAAAGAGCGAAAAAACAATGCAGCACGAAAAAAAATCGTATGACTATCTTCGGAAAGAACGGCTATCCACGCAACTTCATCAAAAAATATAAACTGAAATCATTAACCGAAGCGAAATCAAGCACAGGAACCAATAAACGGATCATCCTACCAAACATAAAAGACATATCGGAATAAGCAGCATGACTACGGAAATCATTTGGAATAGGTGTAGCACACAAACCAACAGAATCACTTCAATCAATCCTATGTAGACCAAAGGACAAAATGACAAATGAAGAGAAACCAAATATCATCTACAAAATAAACTGCTCAGACTGTGAAAAACACATCGGACAAAGTGGATGGCCTCTTCAGCTTCGTTTACGTGAACACCAATTAGTAGTCAAACGCCACGACAACGCTTGGCTTATATCAATACACACCGACAATTATGGACATACATTCGATTGGGACAATGTGGAAATACGGGATAAGGGGAGGACAAAGAACACTAGAGAATTTTCTAGAAGCTTGGCATTCAAGTCATCCAGCAACCAAAAAACACATCGACTTCAATCCAATTTATCAACCAATCGAAAAAACCATAAAAAAACATAGTATCAAGAAACAGATCAAAGGATAATACAATCCAAATAAAGATGTAGACAACGACAGGTTTAAAGTCAACAGCGCCCAATCAAGATCAACTTAATAAACCGCGAGTTATACATGGAGAAATTCGAATACTTCACTTCTATCTGAAGTTTGTGCTGATAATGTTATCCAGTAAAAGAACAATGAAAGCTCCAAAACCAAAACATCCAGCTCAGAGAACGAAACTATACCACAGAGGTGTATAAAGCGATACAGAGAGATATTGCCACACACATTCAATACACTTTCTCAGATCCATCCTACCGTGAAATCATACTGCTAATTGTAGAGGGTTGTGATAGCAGTAAGATATTTCCTTCAGACAGTTAGCATCTACAGTGATGTTGATCTCGTGCGAAGGGAGGATGGGGTTATAGAAGTCCAACACCAAAATCAACCCACTTTTGAAGTATAAATCTAATACATCAAAAACTTCTCATGAAATGGCTGTGTATTGCAGTCAGTCAGAGTCAGATGCAACGTAGAACTTCGTACGTAAGTACATTAGTTCATGTCGCCATACCACATCAGCACAGAGATGTAATTGTCAATTCAAATCCAATAGAAGAAGAGTTAGTACGGGTATTAGAAGTAATCGGAGAGGTTAAGATGAGAAGATATTATTCAAGAAGTATGATTCAGTGAGATAAGTTTAGAAAGTCAAAACTAGAGTTGTTGAAGAATCCAGAAGATTAGGATTTGAGAGAACACAAAGAATAAATGCACCGGCGCCATTGCGAACGATTTTGAGCCATGTCATTCAAGGTCTCTAACCATCGATTATTATCATCTCGCGGACCCCAACCAGGTAGTCGACAACTACCGACATTGTATTGCAGGCTTCAAGCAGCTTCATGAACTCTGTAGTTACTCTCCTAGATCACTAAAATTGTCAATGATCCAGTTTCTTTTTCAGGTCTTTCTAGAAGAAGGATCCTTCCGCAGTGTGGGCGACCGAGAAGTGACAAACGCACACTTATACTTCTAACAATACTCAAGATCATCTTGTTTGAGACCAGGTAAAGTATAACAAAATACCAATTAGGTCACAAGTGAAGCTAAGAACTGAATCAATAAGCTTAGTGAAGAGTATTACTATATGATGAGTAATAAAGATAGAGAGAAAGTATAAAATGAGTATATTCTTTGATAAACATAAGAATAAATAATGGAAATAACAATTCATATTTATTACTTACTGGTATGCCTAAATCATGTAGTTGAGTCATCATCTTGAACTCTTGACGTATTACATCCAACAAAGCAAATAGATCAACAGATGGTGAAAGTAAAATACCATTTAAAAGAAGTAAACTTTGACCAGGTTGTATACCATATGTTCCAGATAGAATATGTTGATTTTTATTTGACTCTGTACGAAGGCTTGAACTAACATTTACATTGACAAGACGGCTAAATGTAAGCAAGAGATGGAGAATAGATGGTACTTATCATGTTAAAATCAAGGAAAATGAATCGTTGAACTTATTTGAGAAAATATTTAGTGTTTTTTTTGTGATTAAAATTTAAACAAACAGTTATTTCATAAGTAACTGAAATAAATAAAGAAATAAATGCGGTATGGCAACCTGAACTGATGTACTTACATACGAAGTTCTGCGTTGTATCTGTGTCTGTCTGTCTGTGTGAAATAAATGAACTGTCGTCTATTGACAATTGGAAATGTACTATGTGACGCATTATTCCAGTTGTCCATGAAGTCAATGACAACTGGACTGAGGCATGTAAGTAGATGTAGACTACCTGATTGAGGTCCACGAGAGACGATAGTAACAGATAGTTAGAGACTTTGAATTACATTGCCCGAAATTGTTTGCAATTGCTCACGTGCATCCATTCTTTGTCTTCTCTCAAATTCTAATCTTCTGAATTCCTCATGAACGTTTTTATTTGCTCTCTTATTATTTTCAATCGATCTCTCTGGGATATACTTCTCAAGTGATATGTTTGGTCCTTAATCTTTTTGATTACTGCTAATACTTCTGCTACCTCTACTACTATGAGATCTGAATTGACAATTAAATCTCTGTGTGCTAATGTGGTTTAGTAACTTGAACTGATATACGTACATACGAAGTTCCATGTTATAGCTGACGGTATGATTATTTCTTACCAAAAATGGTTCATCTTTTTGTTCAATAAACTGTAAATCATCTGAAAAGAAATTTTTTCTTTTAGTAAATGAAATGCTTAACAGAGTTTATCAGGAAAACTAACTAGATTATATATCAGGACTACTAATATTACAACAATTAAAACAGATGATGAACTGAAAAGTTCAGTTGAATGTAAGTACAATGCCGCTGGAATTCTATAGAACGCATAAAATTTATGCATAAAAACAGCTTCGTTTTACGGTGATGGATGAATAAAAGTTAGACAAGCTTAGAAAATAAACAAATCAGCCAATCACCTTCGGAAACTTTTAATCTAACAGATTTAAACTTGATATTTGAGTGTGATCATCAAAGAAAGATTATAAATGTTATGCTCGTTGCTTACAATAGTTGAAACCATTACGGGTTCACCTTAGTCGATAAATGAGAACGAGACAATGAACCAATGAAACAGTAGGCTACTCTGATCCGTTGACCCGGAGGAACTAACAGAAAAGTCTTGATATGGCGTAGAAAGTCTATTCTACAAACACCCAGCAAACAAAATGAATGCAAGCATACAAATCACGTTTAGTTATACGTCATAGAAACGTCCTTGGGACAGTTACAAGAATAGCACACTAAAATAACACAGTAACCAATCACAGCCAAGGATTTTCCTGGTGGGAAATGTGATCTCAAGGTCAACTGATCAACCCGTGAATAAAATCCAAAATGAAGACATTTATCAAGAGAGTTCTGGAGATCTAACGTCCCCAACAATAAATTCGATGCTAATTAAATGATAAAGCTTCTAGTCAGTGTTAACATGCAGTTGGTTTTTCCTTATGCGCATTAGTCCTTATCACACTGTTTGTTAAGTGTAGTAGTGTGAGAGATTTTCGGATGTTTACGTCTAACTACCTTGAATTTAAACACACAGTTATAACGTATTCAGTTTTCGTGCGCCTATTCAGGAGAGGATAAGGGAACCTATTTTACAGCTTTTTTTCAGATGGCTCCTTAGAAAATACTGAATGTTAAAACAATCATCATTGAGCTAGATGATTAGTGGTGAATATCAAGTAGAAATGTACTAACATGCTATGTGTTCATCCAGTAGAAGGTAACTATTATAAGAGTTGATAAATTGACAGTTTTCATAGTCTTTGAGCGTTAAACTTTCAAGTACTGGTCTTCTTAAAGTCACACACAGATAAATGAGATTAATTAGTAAGTATTTTTATGTATGTTTATTTATCCAAGGATATGAAGTCCTGAAATTGTTGAGGTAGAAAGCATAACATGCATAGATGAAGGTAGTTTAGTTAAGAGTTTGGTGTAAGCTTAGGCAAGTGTAGGTCAATGCAATAGTAGCTAGGTTTCTTGCGGTATTTAAATATCGCTGTATAATAAACAGTAAGAGCAAAGGATATGGATTTCCATGAACTATATTTTAGCTAACGAGTTACCATCGTTTGGTTATGGAACGATTTGTGAGGAAAGATAATACGATTATTATTATTATTATTATTGTTATTATTATTATTAAACAACTTCAACGCACGTAATAAAGTTATTTAGATGAATTACTGTTGGGGACGTTAGATCTCCAGAACTCTCTTGATAAATGTCTTCATTTTGGATTTTATTCACGGGTTGATCAGTTGACCTTGAGATCACATTTCCCACCAGGAAAATCCTTGGCTGTGATTAGTAAGTGTGTCATTTTAGTGTGCTATTTTGTGACTCTCCCAAGGACGTTTCTATGATGTATAAATAAACGCGATTTGTGTGTTTGGATTCATTGTGTTTGCTGGGTGTTTGTAGAATACACTTTCTACGCTATATCAAGCCTTTTTCTTCAGTAAGTTGGGGCAATCGATCAGAGTAGCCGCCTACCGTGTCACTGGTTCATTGTTTCGTTTTCATTTATTGACTAAGGTGAACTCGTGATAGTTTCAAGCATATCAAGTGACGAGCATAACAATTACTAAGGTTTTCAGAGCCAACTAATACCAGGTACAATGCAAGAATTTGTTTCGTTCTGAAATCTGATTAGTTCGTTCACATTACAAATTGATCAGATCTCCGTTTTTTTTAGAAAAAAAATTAATTCCTCTCGAATATGCGCTTATTGAATAATGTCTTCGATCATTAATCCTCTTGATCATCTAGTTTCTTCAACGACATACAGAAAATAAATTTAAGCACATAAATGAATGAATAAAAAATTTAAATTCCTACGATAAAAATAATAAATTTGGAAAAAGGAGAGAAATAAGAGTAGTAGGGGGCAAATGAATAAATTAATAAACACATGTTCGTTGATAAAAAAATATTTCGCTGTTCATACAAGATTATGGTTTAAATAAATAAAGAACTATATTCAATTCAATTTGATATTGCATTGCGGGTTTGTTGTGAAGATTGTTAAGTTTTATTTGTAACCATGAATCGATCAATAATAGACCACCATTAGAAACCTGGAAGCACTGGACGGCCGTTTCGTCCTGGTATGGGACTCATCAGCAGTGTGCTTGGTGAGTTCTAGTAGGAAGTCGTGACCAGTGAAGTTCAAACCTGTATACCCTGTATACAGGGTATGAGGTTGCGCAACTCCGTGAATTTGATCAAGTTAGACATTAACACCGTTAGATACCGGCTCAGTGGTCTAACGGTTAGGGCGTTTGCGCACAACACCGAAGGTCATGGGTTCGAATCCTACAGGGTGCAGGAGTCGTGGATGCCCACTGCTGATGAGTCCCATACCAGGACGAAACGGCCGTCCAGTGCTTCCAGGTTTCTAATGGTGGTCTAACATTGATCGATTCATGGTTACAAATAAAATTTGATATTGGTTCGGATTACTTCGTTGTTGATATTTTGATTGAAATTTGATCAGTCTTGGTTAGCATATATGCATCTCATGAAATATCAAATTAATCTGCACAGCCACGTACTCTCTTTATTTTATATATAAGAACTATATTATCCAAGATTGGCATTAAACATACACTTCAATTGCATAATCGAACCTCTCTCAGTGCCATGAAGCTTCATAGTAATTCACACATACATCTAAATCAAGGTCGGTTGGGTTCTAATCGGATGACCTCTTAAAACTTATTATCGAAGCCAAGTAAATGATCATTTTTTTACACTATTAGATAGTTTGTAAAAATTTTAACCGTTTGAAATACAGCGGAATGAATGCAAAGCATAATTTTTTTTAAAAAAAAAAGAACCAGATAAAAACTAAAAATAAAAATAAGATACATTCTATCAAAATAACCTTTAGTCATTAGTATGTATGCTGTATTAAGGTCAGTTTTCAAGGTCATTTGTTTTGAGTCATTAACAACTTGCAAAATAATAACAACAATATCATATGAAACAGAGCACAAAATGCTATCGGTGTTCACAATTAAATTACCTTGCTCGTGCCGGTAAATTTTGACTAATATCACGTAAATTCCATAAACCTGAATTAATATACGATCCAATAAAACTTTCATGATTCATATTTGATGCAAATGCATCCATCACTGTTTGACAAGCTTGTAAACTTAAATCACGAAATTGCCAAGCTTTCAATGGACGTAATTCATCATCTGTAGCAAGTAGATGACTATGAAATTCATTAAGTTCTTTTGTTAATTCAGGATGAATAGTATGCAATTGTGTAAAATTAAATCCTGCAACAATTGGTATGTCGATAATTTTATCTGTTTCTTTTGATGATACATTGTCCGCCTCTGAAATAAAAAATATTTATTATTATTACTATTAGTATTAGTGGCTCAGTATCAAGGATAGCGTAGTGTATTTGGCTTTAAGTCACATTCTAGATGTAGAGAACTAATGATACTAACCAATGACTGAATGTCGAATGCTTTAAACACTGGGACTCCTCGACTTCAGTCAGTCAGTTACAACGTACAACTTCGTACATATGTATATTAGTTCAAGTTGTCATACAACATTAGCACAGAGACACAATTATCAACTCAAATCTCATGGTAGTAGAGGAAGTAAAAGTACTAGCAGTAATCAAACAGATCAATGATCGAATATATTATTCAGGATGTATACTTCAGAGGAATCAATTTAAAAGACAAAAAACGGTCATGAAAAATTCAGAAGATTAGGTTTTGATAGAAGCCAAAGAATGGATACACCTAGACCATTGCAAACGGTTTTGAACCATGTCATCCAAGTTCTCTAACCGTCCGTTACGATTGTCTCGTGGAACCCAATTACGTAGTCTACATCTACCAACATGACTCAATTAAGTTGTCAGTGACTTGATGGATTTGTACCATGTTTTGGTTTCACCGCACCTAGCTTTCTTCCATCTTACTTCTACACCGAAAAACAGCTCGACGAGGCAGTCGGTGGTTTGGTATATGTATATACATACAATGATACTAATTGGATCATGAAATAGTGTGCGTCACGATGACTGACTAACCAAAATAAATGGAGCGTGGTTATTAAATGCAATTCCATATAGTTGAAAGTAGATAGCTATAACCATTGAAGCAATAGTTTATACCAAACAAAAGTGACAGAAAATCTTTCTGAATGGTAAACAAACTAGTTAGCCTAATTGTATACAACACAATAAGAATTAGATACACTAGACAAACAAAAAGGTTATATTATTTGTAACACATTAGTAGTCGATGCAATGGCTCAGGTGCATTCACTTTCTGTGTTCTCTCAAATCCTGATCTTCTGGATTCGTCAACACCTCTACCTTTGTCTTTCTAACCTTATCTGACTGACTTATACTTCTTGAATAATATCTTCGAACCCCAATCTTACCCATTACCGTTAACACTTCTACTATCTCTAACATTATGGGATTTGAACTGACAGTTGCATCTCTGCGCTAATGCGGTATGGCAACCTGAACTGATGTACTTACGTACAAAGTTCTACGTTGTAACTAACTCAACTGATTGACGTTAGTAGTGATAACAAATGATGAAAACATAAATAAACAACAAAAATTCACATCACATTACTGTTACAACTAATTCATGGTTTGTACACTAAAACAATGGTGAAACCTACCTTCTGATTTCGTATCATCCATAGCCTTGTATTCAGTGCTTTTCAATGCAAGCTCTACACCATAACCATTTAACCTTGTTTCACCCAAATTTCGATTCTTTCAAAAGAGAATTAGTTAAAATAAATAATAGTAGTATATAGATCGTTATGTTACGTTACGTTGAAATCATGAATGAATCATTGTATGACCAGCATCACCAGGTTTTTAATGGTGCTCTAACCAGAATTCATTCATGATCTCAATGTAGAATAAATAATGATCAAGTAAAATAAATTTAAGTTGATTTATCCTAGGAATCAATGGTATTCAATTTTCAATTTCAATTCAATGTATCATCCAGATCGACTATATACTCAGCAATATAATGTGACAACTGTACTTACTTACTTACTTTCGCCTGTTACCCCAAATGGAGCATAGGCCGCCCACCAGTTTTCGCCAACCAACTCTGTCCTGGGCTTCTTCCTCCAGTTCTGTCCAATGTTTGTTCATTCCTCTCATATCTTTCTCTATTTCTCGGCGTAATGTATTCTTTGGCCTTCCTCTTTTCCTTTTGCCTTGAGGGTTCCATGTGAGGGCTTGTCTCGTGACGCAGTTAGGTGCTTTTCGTAGAGTGTGTCCTATCCACTTCCACCGCTTCTTCCTGATTTCCTCTTCCACTGGAATCTGACTTGTTCTCTCCCACAGTTCGTTGTTGCTGATGGTATCTGGCCATCGAATACGAAGTATTTTACGTAGACAGCTGTTAATAAACACTTGTATCCTCTGGATGATGGCTTTGGTAGTTCTCCATGTTTCCGCTCCATACATTAGAACTGTCTTGACATTTGTATTGAAAATCCTTATTTTGGTGTTGATTGATATCTGTTTGGAGTTCCAGATATTTTTCAACTGTAGAAATGCAGCCCTTGCTTTGCCAATCCGTGCCCTCACATCTGCATCCGATCCACCTTAATTGTCGATGATGCTGCCCAGATATGTAAAGGTGTTAATGTCCTCCAAGGCATCTCCATCAAGAGTGATTTGATTGGTGCATGTTGTGTTGCATCGGAGAATTTTGCTCTTTTCTTTATGTATGTTGAGACCTACTGCTGCAGAGGCTGCTGCTACACTCGTCGTCTTCTCTTGCATTTGTTGTTGAGTGTGCGATAGAAGAGCCAGGTCATCTGCGAAGTCCAGATCGTCCAGCTGCGTCCTAACTGTCCAGTTGATACCGTGCTTCCCTCCAGCTGTTGACGTTTTCATAATCCAGTCGATCACCAGGAGAAAGAGAAAGGGTGAAAGTAAGCAACCTTGCCTGACACCGGACTTTACCTCGAAAGAGTCGGTTAGCTGTCCTCCGTGCACGATTTTGCAGTTGAATCCATCATAAGAGTTCCGTATGATGTTGACTATTTTCTCAGGCACCCCGTAGTGTCGAAGAAGAGTCCACAGTGTTTTCCTGTCCACGCTATCGAATGCTTTCTCGTAGTCGATGAAGTTGATGTAGAGTGGTGAGTTCCATTCAATTGATTGTTCCACAATGATCCGTAATGTAGCAATTTCGTCAGTACACGATCGATCCTTCCGAAATCCGGCCTGTTGATCTCGAAGTTGGGCGTCTACGAAGTCCTTCATTCTGTTTAACAATACCCTGTTGAAGACTTTGCCTGGTATTGAAAGAAGAGTGATGCCTCTGTAGTTCTCACACTTGCTGAGGTCGCCTTTCTTTGGTATTTTGATCAGGTATCCTTCCTTCCAGTCTGATGGTACTTGTTCCTCATCCCAAATCTTCTTGAAGAGAATGTGAAATATTTTCGCAGTTGCTTCTACATCTGCTTTCATTGCCTCTGCTGGAATGTTGTCTGGTCCTGCTGCTTTGCCGTTCTTGATTTGTCTGATGGCCATACTGATCTCCTCAATCGTAGGTGCGCCAATATTAATTGGGAGGTCCGTGGATGCTGCTTCGATGTTGGGTGTGTTCAGTGGAGCTGGTCGATTCAATAGTTCCTTAAAGTGCTCTACCCACCTATTTCGCTGTTGTTCAGTGTTGCTGATTACTTTGCCTTCCTTGCTTTTCACTGGTCGTTCTGGTTTACGATAGTTCCCGGCGAGCTTCTTTGTAGTTTCGTACAATTGTCTCAAGTTTCCGTCTCTTGCAGCCTTTTCCGCCGTCGTTGCTAGATCTTCCACGTATTTTCGTTTGTTAGCTCTGATGCTCTTCTTCACTTCCCTGTTTGCTTCAGTGTATGCAGCTTGTGTGGTAACTTTCTCCGCTCTTGTTCGGCTGACATTGATTGCTGCTTTCTTGTTCCTCCTTTCTTCAATTTTTGCGAGAGTATCAACAGAGATCCATTCCTTATGATGCTGCTTCTTGCGACCAAGGACCTCCTGACATGTTGAAGTGATTGCCTCCTTAATCCCTTTCCAATTGTTCTCCAATGTTGTGTCCTCTCCATTGTGTAGATCCTGTAAGGCCTGGAACCTATTGGTGAGGGCTATCTTGAATTCGTTGAGCTTTACAGTATCCCGAAGAAAGGCCGTATTAAACTTGTGTGATGTTGTCTGTCCCGTTGTCCAGTGCTTCTTTAGTTTCAGTTTCATTTTGGCGATTAGCAAATGGTGATCTGAGGCTACATCAGCTCCTCTCCTGGTTCTCACATCCTCCATAGTCCTTCTGAACGTTTTGTTGATACAGATATGATCAATCTGGTTTTGAGTAGTGTGATCCGGTGAAATCCATGTGGCTTTGTGAATGCGTTTGTGCGGGAATATTGTGCCACTGATGACCAGTTTGTTGAAGGCACATAGGTTTGCAAATCTCTCACCGTTTTCGTTTCTTTCTCCCAGTCCATGTCGTCCAATGATGTCTTCATATCCAGTGTTGTCAATTCCAACCTTGGCATTCAGGTCTCCTATAAGAATCGTCAAATCCTTTGGTGAGCACCTGTCGACGATTGACTGCAGCCTTTCGTAGAATTGATCTTTGTCGTCGTCATTGTAGTCGTTGGTAGGTGCATAACATTGGATGACGTTCATTGTAATGTCCTCTTTCTTTGTTTTGAAGGATGCTTTAATGATCCTGGGTCCATGAGATTCCCATCCTATTAGTGCCTTTTGTGCATGTTTGGACAGCATCAATGCAACTCCTTGTGTATGTGAAGCATTTTCCTCTTCATGACCAGAGTATAACAGCAGTTCCCCTGAAGCTAGTCTCAGTTGTCCTACTTGTGTCCAATGTGTTTCACTGATTCCAAGCACCTCGAGGTTGTATCTTCTCATTTCTGCCGCAACTTGAAATAGTCTTCCAGTCTTCCACAATGTACGAACGTTCCATGTACCTAAAAAAATGGTTGCTCTGGTTGTCAGAAGAGGCATCAGCCCCGTGACTTCCGAGGGAACTCGGCTTTCATCACGCGACGTCATAATTCTTCCTCCAACTCCCAGGGCAGAGTGTGACAACTGTACCATGTATCATGTTATAGTTGGATATTATCGTTTAACATTCATTGTCAAAATAACAAATGACAATAAAAATACAGCAAGGTGAACTCCACCAATCCGTATACTAACATGTACTAGGGGTTATGAATCCAAGTTGTTGTTATTCGAGGATCAGTTGTCCGAATAGAGGTGCATACAGTGAAAACTGTTATGTAGTTAGATCTCTCTACTTGTTACTTCTAAGTGACAAGTTTGGATAGCGGCTTCTACGTATTTCAATTCAGGTGGCCGATTTATATTAACAGCCCTTCAATAATGTGTGTGTGCATGCATAAACATGTGCTCAGTAAGTGAGATACATACGTTAAAAATAAGCAAGTGACTACAAACTAAAAACATGATAATTGAAATATGGCTGTTTATACTACTGTATTACAATCTCCATGATGATAACAGAAAAATTACCATTGATATACTTACTTACCTGAAAATAATGTCTGAATGCATAATTACACAAACCATCATCTGACAATGCTTTTAAAGTTTTATGCCATGAATAGAATTGGTGATGACTTAAATCTCCATAGAGAATCACTGTAGGAATGTTGTTTGAAGTGTATTTTGGTGATGAATACACTTTCTCGAGTGGAAACAAAGCTTGAAAATAATAGATAATCATAAAACACATGATAAAAGGCAATCGAAAGCCTATTAGTTGTAATCATATGATAAAATAAATCAAGGTTAAATAATAAACTCAAGTTAGTCTTTGGATGAAAGTTCCGATCGTAGCTGCTATCTTGACGTGGTGGTCGGGCTTGCCTATCGTGATGACCTAACCAAGCTATAATGGCTGGAACATATGTTCCTGAAGGTTCTACCATGCCAACCAGGTAGGTCGATCGGAGAACGATGAGGCTAAAAGCAGCTAATCAAGGTCTGAGGGCGAAGTCGTACTGCTGACTGACTGCAGAGGGGTGTGACAGCAGTAAGGTGTTTCCCTCGGACAACCAGCATCTGCAGCGATGCTGCCTCCTCACAAGGAAGAAATGGGTTAGAAAAGATAGATCCTAAAAATTTCACACCTCATCTTACCTCACGGATTTCTGTTTCCAGTGGTAAGGCTATTTGAAGAACGGAGCTGACACCATACAATCTTCCTGTAAAAAGGCCGTGCGTGACCGGCCTCAAGCAGTTGTCCGTTGGGCTCTGTGGTCAAGCTCCCAGGTCACTCAAAACAACGCTGATCCATTTCTTTTTCAGGCTCTTCAAGAAATACCCGTGGTATGGGCAGCCGGGAAGTGACGTCCGCCCTCATACTCGTAATAGCAAACGAGTCCACAACAGTCACAATCAAAACCTTCCTACATGTTGGGGACGTTAGATCCCCAGAACTCGCTGGATAAATGTCCTAATTTTGGATTTTATGTTTCCGAGCATGGGCTGAATACACTGTCTACGCTATATCAGAACTTATTCGTTAGTTCCTTTGGGTCAACGTATCAGAGTAGCCAACCCGGACACTGGTTCATTGTCTCGTTCTCGTTTATCGACTAAGGTAAACCCGTAATAGTTTCAAGCATATCAGGTAACCAACATAACACTACACCTCTTAACAACTCTCTTATCTCCACGACCGACTCATCATTCATTCCTTTGTCAACACGCGCCACTGATGCAAACGTTTCGTGAACCCGAAACGTTTGCACTGGTCTGTTGAGATCCTCCTCTAAACAACATATTGGAGCACACGAGACGAAATTGTTCAAAATCAAATCCTTCCTACATTCCCTAATACCTCTCTTATCTCCACAACTAACTCTTCTCACATTCATTTATTACAGTGCACAGCTAATGCAAACGATGCGAGTTTGCGAAACGTCGTTCCCGGTCTCCTTAAACCCCGTTCCAAACTACATGTTGGAGCATTCAATGTACGGACATTGTGTCAAATAGGGCAACAGGCGTCATTAGCTAGGACTTTAGAATCTCGTTCCATCGATGTGTGCTGCGTCTCGGAAACGCGCATACAGGATCCGAGTAGCATCACTCATTTGACCTCACCATGTCAAGATAAAGAAGCAGCTCGATTTACCCTTCGTGTATCCGGTAGCCCTGATGCTGCTTCTAGGGGCCTCGCCGGTGTAGGTATAGCATTGAGTCGTAGGGCAGAACAATCTCTCCTTGACTGGATCCCTGTAGATAGTCGCTTGTGCGCCGTCCGACTGAACGGGACAGTAAGGACTCGGAAAGATAGGGACACTCGCCGTTGCCTCTTCGTCATATCAGCCTACGCCCCCACTGACTGCAGCCCAGATGATGTAAAAGATGAGTTTTACAGAAAGCTTTCGGACCTCCTCCAAAAAGTTAAGCGCTCTGATATAGTTATAATGGCTGGTGACTTCAATGCTCAAGTAGGTAGACTAAGTGAAAATGAAAGACACCTAGGTGGATGTTACGGTCTCGCGGCTCAAAGAACAGACAATGGCGACCGTCTGTTGCAACTGTGCTCAGATAACCGCCTATTTCTAGCAAACACTAATTTTAAGCATAAGGAAAAACACCTTTTGACCTGGCGACCCCCGAAGTCGTCTCAACGTTGGACACAACTAGATCATATCGCCATCAGCCACCGATGGAGGGGTTCGATAGAGGACTGTCGCTCGTTCTGGGGCACATGTTTAGATTCAGATCATGCCCTAGTGCGAGCACGTATTTGTTTGAGGCTTGCTGGACGTAGGAAAGACACCGTAAGGAAGCCTCTTAGGGCTTTACTTGATGATAATCAAGCTAAGAAAATATTTCAGGAGGAACTAGAAAAACAGTTGGGCGGCCATGCAAGTGATTCCCATCCAGAAGCAGGTTGGAATCATATCAAGAAGGCTGTGGAAACAGCAGTGATATCTGCTAGCAAGGTAAACCATAAGGCTACGATGAAGCCGTGGATTTCAGTCGCATCCACCGAACTGATGGATGCACGAAAACGAATCCCACCTGACTCTGAACATGATGAAGAGCGTACTCAACTTAGGCGCAGACTTATAAAAAGCCTACGTAACGACCGTGAACAGTGGTGGGTGGCGAAAGCAAAAGCGATGGAAAAGGCAGCGGCGATAGGCAACACTAGACAACTTTTCCGCCTTATCAAAGGCCCTGGTATTAGGAACCCGAATGTAAGTGAGACTATCTCGGAAAAGGATGGTCTTATTATCCATTCTCAATCTAGGAGGCTGGACCGATGGGCAGAACACTTTAGGGATCAGTTCAACTGGCCTTCAGCCACTCTTCGGTTGCCCACGATCTCCAGTCATCCTGAATGGCAAATCGATTTAAGTCCTCCCAGTTTACATGAAGTTGAGAAAGCTATAGGAAATCTAAGGAGAGGTAGAGCGGCAGGTCCCGATAGGCTTACCCCTGAGATGTTTAAGGATGGTGGTCCAGTTTTAACGGTTAAACTGACCGAGATCCTAGGTAGAATCTGGGAAATGGACGTAATCCCATCTGACTGGTCTCAGTCGCTAATTGTCCCAATCTACAAGAAAGGACAGAAGTCCTCTTGTGACAATCACAGGGGAATAAGTTTAACTAATATAGTTTCTAAATTGTTAGCCTCGATTATACTTAGACGTCTAACTAGAGCTCGCGAAGAGCAGACTCGAGAAAACCAGGCTGGTTTTCGACCTGGACGTGGTTGTATAGACCACATCTTCACACTACGACAGGTCCTGGAACACAGACACACATTTAGACGTCCGACAATAGTCGTGTTCCTGGACCTTAAGGCGGCATTCGATTCAGTGGATCGTGAGGTTCTGTGGCAGTGTCTGTCATTGAAAGGTGTACCAAAGAAGTACATTAACCTTATACAAGCACTCTACTCGAACACCACTGGTCGGGTGAGAGCATATGGCGAACTGTCATCTGAATTCTCTACATCAAGTGGTGTCCGTCAGGGCTGTCCACTCTCTCCATTCTTGTTCAACTTTGTCGTAGACATCCTCTTAGAGTTAACATTAAGCTCGTCAGATTTTTCAGGGGTTGACCTTCTACCAGGAAAGTCGCTTACTGATCTAGAATATGCCGATGACATAGTTCTATTCGGTGAAGACGCTGACAAAATGCAGAGTCTTCTGACTACCCTAAGCAACAATGCGAGCATGTTCGGGATGCGGTTTTCCCCCTCGAAATGCAAAATGTTGCTTCAAGACTGGGTTGCTTCGGCACCTGAACTAGTGATAGGGAGTGAAGTAGTCGAGCGTGTAGATCACTTCACTTATCTGGGGAGTCTCATCAGTGCTGACGGTCTGGTGACTGACGAAATCTCAGCTCGGATACAGAAAGCTCGATTGGCTTTTGCCAACCTGCGTCACTTATGGCGTAGGCGTGATATCCGTTCGCTAACCAAAGGGCGGGTGTACTGCGCAGCAGTTCGTTCCGTTCTCTTATATGGCTGTGAAACATGGCCGTTAAGAGTAGCAGATGTTCGTAGGTTACTAGTATTCGATCATAGATGTTTAAGAAGCATTGCTCGTATATCGTGGGACAGCCGAGTAAGCAATGCTGTCGTTAGGAAACGGGTACTAGGTAAGAATGGCAGATCAATAGATGAAGTGGTGAAACTTCATCAGTTGAGGTGGTTGGGACATGTGTTACGTATGCCTAACCACCGACTGCCTCGACGAGCTATGTTTTGTGGTGTAGGAGTAACTTGGAAGAAAGTTAGGGGCGGCCAGACCAAAACATGGCAGAAATCCATGAAGTCACTGACAAGTGGACTGAGTCATGTTGGTAGATGTAGACTACCTGGTTGGGGTCCGCGAGACGAAAGTCATCAATGGTTAGAGACCTTGAACGACATGGCTCAAAATCGTTTGCAATGGCGCAGGTGCATCCACTCTTTGAGCTCTCTCAAATCCTAATCTGGATTAGCCAGCACCTCTACCTCAGTCTTTCTAACCTTATCTCACTGAATTATATACTTCTTGAATTATATCTTCGAACCCTAGTCTTCTTTATTAACATTAATACCGCTACTATCTTTATCACTATGGGATTTGATTTGACGTTTGCGTCTCTGTGCTAATAATGTGGTATGGCAACATGAACTTATGTACATACGTATGAAGTTCTACGTTGCAACTGACTGACTGACTGACTGCTGTTAAAGTTTGAACCTGGTGCCAAAAAGGACAACAGGCTTCCTTAGGTAGGACTTCAGAATCTCGCGCCATAGATGTATGTTGTGTCTCCGAAACGTGCATACGGCATCCTATAAGAATCACTAATTTGAATTCCCTTTGTCCAGATAAATAGCCAACTCGGTTTACGCTTCGAGTATCTGAGAGCCCTGCTGCCGCTTCCCGTGGGCTCGCAGGTGTAGGTATATCAGTTAGTCCTAGGGCAGAACTAGATCTCTTAGACTGGATCCCAGTAGATAGTCTATAGTGAGTTTCCCAACTAAATCCTATCCAATAGGTCTCAATCATTGGTTGTCCTAATTTATCTCTTCGCATATCATTTTCTTAATGAGTAGCGTATAATTATTTTGGTACCCCTTTGTGCCAATGTCTTTTAATAATAAATAGTAATATTTGATGCTTATAGATAATACATAGGACTACTCTACTTCCTGATATATTACATTGTTTATCAGTTTGGGAAAGATTGAACATGTAAACATTACTTCCGAATTTTCCCGAATTAGGTCAACTTACTTGGTTGTGAATTAAGGTCTCCAGCTTTTTCAATAGATTCCTTGAGTTTGTCAATGGAAAAAATAGCGCTGGACCCGACAAGAACCCAAGCTACTCCAGAGCTTCGACTTGCTAATTCCTCTAAAACACTCTCACGTGAACAATTTAACAAATAACTTGCATCAGTCAGAGCAAGTTGATGCGACATTTCAACTGTGGGTGAAAACATTCTCGATGAGATGGACAAAGTAAACAGTCGATTATGCATTTCTAAAGAGCTATTTTTTAAATTACTAGCACCGATAGCCTGAATAGCAAGCTCTTTAACTCGTTTCTCCAATAGTCTGTTGTTAGATATCAACAAGTAATCATCTGTAGGAGACATTAGATTTGTTTTCATGAAGTCTAAGTCATTTGATATAAAATCTAAAAATTGCCAGAATGCAGAATTTGATTCCCGAGCAACGTATTCACTGAGAGAGAAAAAACAGAAAACGTCAGATAAATGTTATGTCTTACCAAAAAACTTCAGACGTTATTTATCTATTTAAAACACACTGGTACAAGCAGGCACCAAAATATTTATGCGCTACTTAGTTAAAGCGCATGAAAATAGTCAGACATACGCAGATCAGCTCAAGTTACCATACGTCGTTTAAGGGGCTTACAAAGGACTAAAATGCTGTCCACAATTCTTTTCCGAGACAGTTTATATTTAAAACCGTAAGTCAATGTTCTCACAAGTACTATTAACCAGTGGATTACAAAAATAAGCGGAAATTATATATATATATATATATATATATATATATATATATACTCAAATTACAAACAAACTACTCAACATATTACCTGGCTTCGGATAACAGGGGTGTATTTCTCCATTTCGGAACCAAAGTAACAGAAACTCTATTATCACTGAAGCATGTAGTCAGAAAAATAGAACACAGCACCAGAGGTATCAAGGATATGGTCATTTTACTAAAACAAGAAAGAAGCAAGTTAATTATTAAAAATCATAAATTGATATTATATTTACAGAATCATTAATATATTCGGTAGTACAAAGGTAGATGAAAGATAACTAACAGCACATACAAATGTACCCAAACAAAAAGCTGTGGTGAAACTCAAATTATTTACAGCTCTTAAACTTTGCACACATGGTGTTATTGCAACACAAGTAGAAACAAAAGGATAAAACTGTAATGAACCAAGAAAAAAGGAATCGAATTCAGTTTTCCATGTAATTAAAAGAAAAGTTAATAAACGACTGAGGTTAACAATGAGCAATACTTTAATTAAATCGGATACAGTAATTATTTTAGTGATAGGAAACAACAATATAATCATTAAACAAAAACACAAACACCACCATAAAATTGACACAATATGAATTAATAAATCCGAACTGAAAGAGATAGAAAGATTAGCCAGATTATTTTCAGTTTTTGGTTGTTCACTAAGCCAAGACACAAAAGCATTCAATAAGATTGACATAGAAAGCATCTTTCGAAAACTTAAACTGGAAATATTATGAATGACATGACGATACGCTTCAAGGCGACCAATGAGAAGATCAATAGCAACTAGAAATAAATCATATTCAATATATTTGTCAGAAACATTTCCACATTTAGGACAATGTTCAATTTTTATAATTTCCTCAGTATATTGAGTATAAAGAGCAGAAACACGATTATTGCAATAGATACAGTGATACGAATTTTCCGTCATTATAATATTTTTCTGGGATAATGAAAGCTATAACCATATGAAAATCAGATCTCGACTGATAACCTGTAACAAAAAAACGCATTGTGTTAGAATTTCTCCAAGGCATTCGTCACACTGTTATTTAAAGTAGTCAAGATAACTTTAGATTGCATCTTCTCAGCAAAGTACCGATTGTATTGAAGAGAAAATCAGGATCCTGTTTTGAATATGTTGATTCATTCCGACATATGTTTTATCTATCTGTTATATGTAACAGGATAACACGTCTCATGATATTATGGACAATAGTTGGATAAAGGCATCTCAGGGTTTCACCAAGCTAATTAATTAGGCTCAGACTGCATGATCTAGATACCAGGTACAGATTTATATAATTGATTTTTATCTACGCTTTAAATTTCATGAGGATTAGGGAGCAGGTATCTTTGGATTCTGCTGGAAGTCTTCAACATGTACATGAAGTTCTGGTTGCAGGAAAGGTTCCACTTTTTATTTACCTGAAGCTTGAAACTTCACACACACCACTAGAGTATAATGGGTTAGAAAACTTTAACCAGAATCGGTAGTAAAACTGTGATGACAGCTCTATAAAATGGATCGGAAAGCCGTAAAAGTATCACATAACGATTATAATCTGCACCAGGTCAATAAACACGGAATAAAAACCAGTAAGATTGGTCAGGACATAAGGTTTTATTGGCTGAAGAGACAGGAACATGTTATAAGCACCCACGGCAACCCGTGTATTCACCCTTACTAGCTGACCATAGTCATTGTTCAGTTTGATCTGTTAAAAACAGCTTAAGCTGCAGTTTTAAAACTTTTCCGGTAACCATAAACATGAGAATCTAACTGGTAGTTGGAAGACAGGAGATATTTATCCAAGTTAACTCAAAAAACTTTGATAGAATGCGCTTCATTAGACACTATCGGGATGCGAGGGAACTTAATCAATCAAGAAAATTTGGAATGACGATACCAACGTAAAAAAACTAGCAATATAGAAGTGGATTCAGAACTATGAATTATAAATAAATGCACATTCGAGCATATGCCTGGATTACATCAAGGTAAGGTAACTGTGAGTCAAAAATCAGACAAAAAATTAATAAAAAATTTAAAAAGCAATCAATTAGCAGCAAAGTATCATCAGTAAAATAGCATAGCCGTCCAACTAAGAGCAGCATTATGTAAAATATCCGTAACTGCCGCACTGACGTGTATTGAGGCAAACGTATAGTGAATGTCCAATAGTGTAGTAAGGTTGGTGAAGTTGCACCTGAATTAATCCAGCCATTTGACTCAACAGCTGAAAAAATACATTATAGTGTATTAGGAAATGTGTCGGTGTGCACTTAGCAAGACTAGTTCCGGAAAAAAGCGAAGTCCGACAATTCGTTCTTTAGTCATTGTTATTAGGTGGGTTGGCCTGTGATGAACCCTCTGATAAATACGCGAATCCGATGACAGTGCTTGCCTAAGTTAATATAAGGCATTTAAATTGCGGAATGTCAATATATTAGTTTTAGCTCCTGACTGATTTTACTGAATGATGAACGATGGCATTACGGAAACATAAATCTGTAGTGTGAAACATCGATACTCACTATTAAAAATATCTATTGGGCCGTACACATTCAAAGTCAGAGGGCGTTAAATTGTTTCTTGAATATCGTCAAGATTAAGGATGATTATCCACGGGAATATAGGAGTTTCGGTGAAAAGTTATGAGCTTGTAGTATAATGCTTCTACGTAGAGGACGTAATTGGTGAAATGGAAACGGTTAATATTGTACTCAGTCGTAACAATAATTAATTCGTTGCACTCCTTTTGTTTGACTGTACTAAAACACTTACTTACGCGCAACTTTCTGTTTCTGTTGCTGGCATCATTCGTTACATGCTGCTCTTTATGTCGCCCACTTTATTGTTGTGATTTCGGTGTTCTTTCGAAACCACGAAATCACCAGCGAATATATTCTTTGACCTGGATCTATATATTTTTATAGTGACGGGCTAATCCCGCCAGCAGAACCTGCAGGGCTACTGCCCGACCAAAGCCCGGATTAAGGAGGAAGGTTGGGCATCGGGTTTGCGACACCATCCCAATAAAAAACTGACTTACCAAAATTCGCTAACCAGAAAAATAATTCAAACCATTTTAACTCTGCCCTGGGAGTTGGAGGAAGAATTATGACGTCGCGTGATGGAAGTCGAGTTCCCTCGGAAGTCACGAGGCTGATGCCCCTTCTGACACCCAGAGCAACCATTCCTTTAGGTACATGGAACGTTCGTACATTGTGGGAGACTGGAAGACTATTTCAAGTTGCGGCACAAATGAAAAGATACAACCTCGAGGTGCTCGGCATCAGTGAAACGCATTGGACACAGGTAGGACAACTGAGACTAGATCCAGGGGAACTGCTGTTATACTCTGGTCATGAAGAGGAAAATGCTTCACATACACAAGGAGTTGCACTGATGCTGTCCAAACATGCACAAAAGGCACTGATAGGATGGGAATCTCATGGACCGAGGATCATTAAAGCATCCTTCAAAACAAAGAAACCGGACATTACAATGAACGTCATCCAATGTTATGCACCTACCAATGACTACAATAACGACGTTAAAGATCAATTCTACGGGATACTGCAGTCAATCGTCGAGAAATGTTCACCAAAGGATTTGACGATTCTTATGACAGACCTGAATGCCAAGGTTGGAATTGACAACACTGGATATGAAGACATCATTGGACGACATGGACTGGGAGAAAGAAACGAAAACGGTGAGAGATTGGCAAACCTATGTGCCTTCAACAAACTGGTCATTGGTGGCACAATATTCCCGCACAAACGCATACACAAAGCTACATGGATTTCACCCGACTACACTACTCAGAACCAAATCGACCATATCTGTATCAACAGAAAGTTCAGAAGGACTATGAAGGATGTGAGAAGCTGATGTAGCCTCAGATCACCACTTGCTGGTCGCTAAAAGAAAACTGAATCTTAAGAAACAATGGATAACGGGGCAGACAACATCACAGAAGTTTAATGCAGCCTTTCTTCGGGATACCATGAAACTCAACGAATTCAGGATAGCCCTCACCAATAGGTTCCAGGCCATGCACAATCTACTCAATGGAGAGGAAGCAACATTGGAGAACAATTGGAAAGGGATTAAGGAGGCAATCACTTCCACATGTCACGGAGTTCTGGGTCACAAGAAGTACCATCACAAGGATTGGATGTCTGTTGACACTCTTGAAAAAATTGAAGAAAGGAGAAACAAGAGCAGAGAAAGTTAAGGCACAAGCTGCATACACTGAAGCAAACAGGGAAGTGAAGAAGAGCATCAGAGCTGACAAACGAAAATGTGTGGAAGATCTAGCAATGACTGCTGAAAAGGCTGTAAGAGAAGGAAACATGAGACAACGTCACGATACAACGAAGAAGCTCACTGGAAAATTTCTCAAACCATAAAGAAGGATTTCTGATCCAAATTTTAAATAAAGGAGGTGTGTGTGAAAACTACGGATGCATCATTCTTCTTTCAATACCAACCAAATTCTGTAACAGGGTATTGTTAGACAGAATGAAGCAGATCGTAAAATCCTCGACATATCTCGGCAGCAACATTGACGAACTGATGCAGATGTGAAGGCGGAGATCGGCAAAGCAAGTGCTGCATTCCTACGAGTGAACAACATCTGGGAATCAAAACTACGATCGATTAGCATCAAAGTCAGAATTTTCAATACAAATTGCAAAACAGTCCTTCTGTATGGACTGGTAACCTGTAGAACTACCTGACCCATGATCCGGAAGGTACAAGTATTCATTAACAGTTGTCTACGGAAAATACTTCAGATTCGTTAGCCAGAAACCATCAGCAACAACTTACTGTGGGAGCAAACAAGCCAGATTCTAGCCAGGTTCGAAATCAGGAAGAAATTCTGAAAGTGGATAGGACACACATTGAGGGAGGAATCCAACTGCGTCACAAGACAAGCTCTAACTTGGGATCCTTTATGGCAAACGGTAAAGTGGAATACCAAATAACACATTACGCTGAGAAATATAGACAGATATGAGAATAATGAACAAAAATTGGACAGAACTGGAAAAAGCAGCCAACGACAGAGTAAGTTGGAGAAAACTGGTCAGCAGCTTATGCTCCTTTGGGAATAAAAGGTATAAGTAAGTAAGACTTTACTATCGATTTTCTCCTCATAAT